TCATATATCCATAACCTTCTTAAAGCTTTTACCCTCTCAAATTGTCTTGGTTCATTACACGGCACATCAGACTGACCCCTCCACTGTCAGTAAAGGCAGTAATCGTGCTGACATGGCAGCCCATCAAGTTGTCCTTTCATCCCAATGTCTCACCCCACTTTCCTCCGGTTCCTCTACTATGTGACCCAGATAACAACTTACCTAACCCTCCTTCAACACAGGACAGTATTCACTACTTCCATCAAGTATTTTACTTTAATACTAAATCCTTTCTATCCTTTCTCTAAACATCTTTGACTTTCACCCTAGCAGATAAGACTTTTTTATGGAACCTAGCCCCAAACTACAGCGTATGCCAGTGGACTAATCCCACCTCCACTATACAACCCCCATCTTTCCCAATCACCAAGTTATAAAGGTCTAAAATTGTAAGAGTCTATGAAAATATATTAAGATGTATAAATACAGGTTATGAAGGTCTGAGGATGTAAAAGCTTAATTGTGAAAGTCTGTAAATGCAAGTTATAAAAATGCTTTAAGGTCTGAGGATATGAAAGACTAAGTTGTAAGGATTTGAGAAAGTGATTTAAGGTATAAGTTTGAGAAAGTGACTTATGAGTCTGGAAAAGTAATTTCAGGTATAGGAAAAGTTGCTGTGGAATAATCTTTCTGCACACTGTGAAAATGTGTTGCTCTCATTGTCAATAAAAAGTTGAGCCAGTTGGTAGTGGCTCACACCTTTAATCCTAGCACTCAGGCAGGTGGATCTTTATGAGTTAGAGGCCAGCCTGGTTTACAGAGCAAGTTCCAGGACAGCCAGGGCTACACAGAGAAACCCTGTCTCGAAAAAACTAAAAACAAACAAACAAATAAACAAACAAAGCTGATTGGCAGATTTTTAGGGGCAAAGAGAATAGGAAGAAGAAGGGCAGAGTCTTGGGAGTCATAAGCAGACACAGAGGGCAGCAAGATGAATGTGCCCTGCTGAAAGAAGTTACTGACATGTGGCAGATGGTAGATAGGAAATATGGGTTAATTTAAAATGTATGAGTTGTTGGGCGGTGGTGGCGCACGCCTTTAATCCCAGCACTTGGGAGGCAGAGGCAGGCAGATCTCTGTGAGTTCAAGGCCAGCCTGGTCTATAGAGCAAGATCCAGGACTAGCACCAAAATTACACAGAGAAACCCTGTCTCTAAAAAAAACATATATATATATATATATATATATATATATATATATGTGTGTGTGTGTGTGTGTGTGTGTGTGTGTGTGTATGAGTTAGCTAGCAACCAGCCTGAGCTATTGGCCGAGCATTCATAATTAATAATAAGTCTCTAAGTGCTTATTTGGAAGCAACTTCCATAGCACAGAAAAACTCTGCCTACAGAAAGTTGTTTCAGATTTCTTTCTCTCTTTCTATGCTATTTTTTGGATTCAAAAACATAAATATACTGCACTTTCTATAATATGAATTTTAGTACAGATTATAAACAATAGTAGTGCTAACATATTTAAAGTCTAGAGGCATAGGCTTGTAATCCCAGCTCTTTAAGAAGCTCAGACTGGAGAACAAAAATTTAAGGACAACCTGAATAACTTAGCAAGATCCTGCCTCAGAGTGAAATGAATAAAACAGAGGTGGGACTAGAGTTCAGTGGGAGAGTGCTTCTCTGGATGCATGAGGCCCTAGGTTCAATCTGCAGCACTGTCAATAATGATGGTGATGATGATAAACCTGAAACATAGGCTCTTCATAGTAAATGCACACAACTTAGGTAGAGAATAACTGACAGGAAATTATCGGCATCAAGATATTACCTCATTAAATATTAGAGTAGTATTACTCCAAACCTGAGTTTGAATCTACAGAATCCTTGTAAAAGGTTGGGTGTGTCTACAGGTAAGATGATAATGCTAATATGATGTGCTAGTAACATTGGGTTTACTGGTTGCCAGGCTTCAGGTTTATTGCTAACACAAGACACTCATTATTCTCCCTTGGCCTCTGCACATGTGGTCAAAGACATGTACACACACACTCAGTAGGCAAGAATCTGGGAATGGTATAGCAGTGCCTTTAATCTCAGCACTGGGGAGGCAGAGATAGGTTGATCTATGTAACTTTGATGGCAGCCTGGAATACACAGTGAGTTCCAGGCCAGCCAGTGATACAGAGTAAGACACTGTCAAAAAAAAAAAAAAAAAAAAAAAAAAAAAAAAAAAAGCCGCCAGGAAAAGACATTTGAGAGACTGCTGCAATACTGTAGGGTAATACAGGAAAGCGTCCCAACAAAGCTGTAAATTCAGCTCAGTTGAACATGTTCCTATAGAACCAGAAGAGGACAGCCATAGAGGTATTTGCACCAAACATAGCAAATGGTCATGCAAAGAAAGGGCAATGTTTGCAGCAAGTATGGCATAGAACCTCAGGAAAACAAAACACTACAATTGAAGCAATTATAGGCATTCCACAGGCTGTCACAGGAACTGCTGCTCCTCTGACCTGAGTGAAATAGGCTATAGGGTCATTTGGGTCATTCAGTCAGGCTTGTAACAGTAGAACTCAAGGTACTTGTGACAGTTATTCTTGGTTGTCAACTTGACTATATCTGGAATAAACTACAAACCAGAAATGGAGGGCACATTTGTTTGTGGTCCAGAACTTTTTTTTTTCTTTTTTTATTTTAATTTATTTTGCAATACAATTCAGTTCTACATATCAGCCACGGATTCCCTTGTTCTCCCCCCTCCTATCCCCCTCACCTTCCCCCCAACCCCCCCCCCCCATTCCCATCTACTCCAGGGCAAAGCCTTCTCCACAGCCACAGACTGAGGTCAACCTGGTAGACTCAGTCCAGGTAGGTCTAGTCCCCTCCTCCCAGGCCGAGCCAAACAATCCTGCATAGGCCCCAGGTTTCAAACAGCCAACTCATGCAATGAGCACAAGATCTGGTCCCACTGCCTGGATGCCTCCCAAACAGATCAAGCCAATCAACTGTCTCACCCATTCGGAGGGCCTGATCCAGTGGGGACCCCTCAGCCCTTGGTTCATAGTTCATGTGTTTCCATTCATTTGGCTATTTGTCCCTGTGCTTTATCCAACCTTGGTCTCAACAATTCTCGCTCATATAAACCCTCCTCATTCTCGCTAATTGGACTCCCAGAGATCCACCCAGGGCCTAGTCATGGATCTCTGCATCCAGATCCCTCAGTAGTTGGATGAGGTTTCTAGCACATCAATTAGGGTGTTTGGCCATCCCATCACCAGAGTAGGTCAGTTCGGGCTGTCTCTCGACCATTGCCGGCAGTCTGTTGTGTGGGTATCTTTGTGGATTTCTGTGGGCCTCTCTAGCACTTTGCTTCTTCCTATTCTCATGTGGTCTTCATTTACCATGGTCTCCTATTCCTTGTTCTCCCTCTCTGTTGTTGATCCAGCTGGGATCTCCCGCTCCCCCAAGCTCTCTTTCCCTCGACCCTCACCTTTCATTACCCCCACTCATGTCCAGGCTGTTCATGTAGATCTCATTCCATTTCTCTGTCATTGGGTGATCCCTGTGTCTTTCTTGGGGTCCTGTTTTCCAGGTAGCCTCCCTGGTGATGTGAGTAGCAGACAAGTCATCCTTGTTTCATGTCTAGTATCCTGCTATGAGTGAGTGCATACCATGTTTGTCTTTCTGAGTCTGGGTTACCTCACTCAGGATGATTTTTTCTAGATCCATCCATTTGTCTGCAAACCTCATGATGTTATTGTTTTTCTCTGCTGAGTAGTATTCCATTGTGTATATGTACCACATTTTGTTTATCCATTCTTCAGTTGAAGGGCATCTGGGTTGTTTCCATGTTCTGGCTATTACAAACAATGCTGATATGAACATAGCTGAACAAGTGCTCTTATGGTGTAGTTGAGCATTCCTTGGGTATATGCCCAAGAGTGGTATAGCTGGATCTTGGGGGAGATGGATTCCCAATTTTCTAAGAAAGCGCCATATTGATTTCCAAAGTGGTTGTACAAGCTTGCATTCCCACCAGTAGTGGAGGAGAGTTCCCCTAGCTCCACATCCTCTCCAGCATAAGGTGTCTTCAGTGTTTTTGATCTTAGCCATTCTGACAGGCGTAAGGTGGTATCTCAGAGTTGTTTTGATTTGCATTTCCCTGATGATTAGGGATGTTGAGCAATTCCTTAAATGTCTTTCGGCCATTTGAGTTTCCTCTGTTGAGAATTCTCTATTTAGTTCTATAGCCCATTTCTTAATTGGACTGTTGGGCATTTTGATGTCTAATTTCTTGAGTTCCTTATATATTCTGGATATCAGTCCTCTGTCAGATGTGGGGTTGGTGAAGATCTTTTCCCATTCTGTAGGCTGTCGCTTTGCCTTGTTGACCATATCCTTTGCTCTACAAAAGCTTCTCAGTTTCAAGAGGTCCCAGTCTGTGCTACTGGTGTTCTATTTAGGAAGTGGTCTCCTATGCCAATGCGTTCAAGACTACTTCCTACTTTCTCTTCTAGCAGGTTCAGAGTAGCTGGATTTATGTTGAGGTCCTTGATCCACTTGGACTTAAGTTTTGTGCACGGTGATAGATATGGATCTATTTGCAGCCTTCTACATGTTGATATCCAGTTTTGCCAGCACCATTTGTTGAAGATGCTTTCTTTTTTCCATTGTGCACTTTTGGCTTCTTTGTCAAAACTTATATGTTCATAGGTGTGCGGATTAATGTCAGGGTCTTCAATTCGATTCCATTGGTCCACATGTCGGTTTTTATGCCAGTACCAAGCTGTTTTTATTACTGTAGCTCTATAGTAGAGCTTGAAGTCAGGGATCGTGATGCCTCCAGAAGTTGTGTTATTGTACAGGATTCCTTTGGCTATCCTGGGTTTTTTGTTTTTCCATATGAAGTTGAGTATTATTCTTTCCAGGTCTGTGAAGAATTGTGTTGGTATTTTGATGGTCCAGATCTTGAGGCAGGAAGACAACATGCCTTTGATCCAGATCCTGAGGTGAGAAGACACACCCTTTTAATACAAGGTGAGAAGAGCCACACCTTCCGCTGGAAGCCTATATGAGGACAAGGGAAGAAGGAAGGGGTCGTTCTTTGCTTGCTTGCTCTCATCTTGTCAACATATCCATTCCTTCACTGGCACTGGAGCCTACTTCGGGTTTCCAGCATAGACAGAAGACCAGCTGTGATACCCAGCCTCGTGGAACTGAGCAACTGCTGGGTTCTTGAACTTCCATTCATACCTAGCCATTGTTAAACTACAGCCTGTAAGTCATTCCACTATTTTTTGTTTGTTTGTTTGTTTGTTTTTCAAGACAGGGTTTCTCTGTGTAGCTTTGGTGCCTGTCCTGGATCTCGCTCTGTAGACCAGGCTGGCTTTGAACTCATAGAGATCTGCATGCCTCAGCCTCCCAAGTGCTGGGATTAAAGGCATGTGCCACCACTGCCCGGCTTCAGTAAATTCTTATAAATAAATAAACATATATGTGTATATATATATACATATATATTTATATATAAGTTCTGTGACTCTAGAGAACCCTGAATAATACAGTATCTTAGGATTCTTCAAAGGCTCTGAGTAGTTAGGCTGGCTGCTCTGGGTGCTAGTCCTTCAATCAAGGCAGCTGTGGCTGCAGGAAGGGTTTAATGAATGTCAGTTAGGGAGTCAAATTATACCAACGCCCAACATCTTAGCTTTTATATGGAACAAATAACATTAAAAAAAGGTGCTTACAACAAAGTCTTATCAGCATCATGAACAGTGATTTAGTTCTTTGTACTATTTAACTTAGAATATAATACTCCTATCCCAGGACCCTTAATAAGAAGTGATTCCCTCTAAGCTCTCCCAGGTGAAGCTTTAGTGTGTTCACTGTCATCAGTGTAAATGAGGCAGAAGTAGAGAGAAGGTAAAGTCAAGGCTAAAGAAAGATACTTCACTGTGAAAGACCAGAAAAGAGAAACATGGACCCCTAATCATTGGAACAGCTGTCCCCACCATACGTGAGATATTTCCTAGTATTACATCAGTTGTTTTATGTAAATTTTTGCTGTATGGAGCTCTGTCTGTTGCAAATACTGCATTTTTTGTCCACTCTCTTGTTGAGTATTTTGTTTCAATTCTAGTTCACAGCTATTATGATTCTAGTTTCCAAAACCAAAGTAGAATGTGTACAGTGTTGGTGGTGATGGTTGGCTGTGTGCAGGGGAATATTGTATTTGTTGTTTTGTATTTTGAGACAGGCTTTCATTATCTAGCCTCGGGGGAACAGAGCTTGCAATCCCCCTAGTGATGGGTTAACCATGTCCAGTACAATTTACTTATATTGTGTATACAGCTTTTATAAATACTACTCAAGAGTTCTCAGGGTAGATAATCTAACTTGAACTCCCACGAGCCTCCTTTGAATGATCTTCTCAGTACCATGATGCCTGATGTTTCCATTTTACCTAAATTGTCTGGGTATAATTGTATTTTACTGTGAGTTAAAAAAAAAATTCACTATAAATTAATGAAGTTGAATATTTCTTTTTCTTTTCTTCTTCTTTTTTTGTTGGGGACAGAATTTCTTTGTGTAGTCCTGGCTGTCCTGGAACTCACTCTGTGAACCAGACTGGCCTTGAACTCAGATCTGCCTGCTGCTGCCTCCTAAGTGCTGGGATTAAAGGCGTGTGCCACCACTGCCCAGCTCAAAGTTGAACATTTCTTTTTTTGTTTTGTTTTGTTTTGTTTTGTTTTACAAGACAGGATTTCTCTGTGTAGTTCTGGTGCCTCTCCTGGATCTCACTCTGTAGACCAGGCTGGAACATTTCTTTACATGTTTATTGGCCATTTATTTTAACTTCTTTTATGTAGGGACTCCCAAATTTGCCACCCATTTTCCAAACCATTTCTCATTATTTTGTTGATGTACTTTACTGGATGTATGTAACTCAAATCCCTTTTCCCACACTGGGTTTTCCCCATTTTCTTGATCTAGTTTGATAAATAATATAATCAATGTGTTATAAATTATAATTATAATTTTGCCTATTTTTAATTTATTGTGTCCAAAGAAATTATATTCTCCACATTGATTTAAAGTTTCCATTCTTCTATTTTTAAATTAAAGCTATTGATTGTTTAGATCTGAAATTCTAAGATAATATTAGGAAGAAATTAGTAAGCAATTAATCTGAACATAAGTTTGGAAAGCTGTACAAACCAAAATATTTGAAAGTAATGAGTGAAGGACATTTGAAAATTTAGAATTGAGTGACTTGTAATTTTGTGAGATGTGATTAAAAGGGAAAGCCTGAGTATCACAAACAAAATACCCAAACAAGCTATGTGAGAGACTCCTTGCTATTAATGTGAGCACTTAGGTGCTGGAAGTAGAAGGAACAGAAGCTTTACAAGGTCGTCCTTGGCTGTACAGGAATTATAGCAAGTTTGAGGAAAGCCTTGTGCTGCCCCAAACCAGCCAGAAACAAATAAACTCAAATTTCCTCATTACCCAAATAAAACAAACAACCCACTTCAGTCAAGTATATTCCAAAGCACGGGAGATACCACACTGCATATTTAATCAAACCCACATTTTCTAATTCAAGGAATCCAGGTTAACAATACTGAACTGTATTGTGTTCTACAAACCAAGACTAAGGAGAGTTAGAGACATGGGTCAGTGATGGTTCTTGCTAGGACTCAAGAGGCCCTGGGTTCAATTCCTAGCACTGGGAAAAACAAAACAAACAAAAAACAGCCAATGAGAAAATTTTTAGGGAATATGAAAAAACATTGGCCAATGTAACTGAACAAGGACTGGCAGCTAACATTAAATGAGACATAATCTTTAAAGTTCTAGCATAAATTTATCAGAACAGAATTCTATACTCTGTGGCAATATTAACCTCAAAATACAGATACATGGGAGCTGATTACTAGTGCACACTCAGAGATGGTGTAAGTTAGGACTGCAAGCTAAAACCCTAGTTAGAACAATACAGCATGGAAGAAAACCAGCAGCCAGGCATGCCCCCAAAGCTACAGCACTGGGAGGTGGAATCGTGATTTTCACTGGACTGTGTGTTGCACACTGGAAAGTCTAAGATTGACATCAGATTTCTATCAGACTCAGCGCTATCAAGTGAGCTTGGGTGCTTTGTGTCGTCATTAACGTTGTTTTGAAGATTCTAGTCACTCAGACTGGCTTCAGAAGTAGTTGGTTTTTCTGTTTCTTTTCATTGCAGGCATATTTCATTGGAGGCATTTTAATGATTCCAGTAAAATTAAGCATCAAGAAAACAAAAATGGAAAGCAGCCAACACTTACAACTATACCTCGTCTCATTAGTGCTCAAATGTAGTAAAAGTTGTGTGTACTCAGAATGTGTGTGCGCGTGTGTTGAGAAATGGTCTCTCTATTATGTAGTTGTAGTTCTGCTTGTCCTGGAACTCACTATGTAGATGAGGCAGGTCTCAAACTCACAGAGATCTACCTGCTGGGATTAAGGGCCTGTGCCACCACACCTGGCTCAGTATAAACAAGTTGAATAGAGAAAACAGTGACCAGCTGGGTGTGGTAGTGCAGGCCTTTAATCCCAGCACTCACACAGGAAGTAGATATAAGCAGATCTCCATGAATTTCAGGCCAGCCTGGGCTACAAAGAGATCCTGTAGTAAAACTAACAAAAAAAAAAGAAAAGTGAAAATAAATAATAGGCATGTTATTGGCTTTTTTATGTTCTCTTACAAGAAACATTTTAAGAGTTGACTTTTTCCTCACCTCACTCTCACACATGTCCACATTTTTACTTGTCACCATTAGCCACTGCCCTCGTGGAACTCTACTATGTGAATGTGTATTTTTTTGATCACTCACAACCCTAACAATACTACTCTCAAAAAGTTTAGAGAGGAAGGAACTTAAGAAGTATTAAGTAGCAATATGATCTTCCAGCCTGTGATGGTACATATGATAAAGCTCCAGCTGATCAAGAAAGAATCCATGATGTAGTGATATTAGTCACTTTTGATGGAGCTATGGCCTTTGATCAGATAGTGAATGACTGACTGTACCTCTACAATTTATTTTTGAGTGTTGGGGAACAAATCTGGGACCTTACATTTGGTAGGTAGTTTCCACCAAATAACCTGGTTAAACCCAAATTTCCTCTGTTTCTGATGGCTGAATTGCAGGATTGGGAAGGACTGATTGCACTTGCTTTGATTGAATCTGGAATGAAATACAAACATGCAGTTCAGTTTAGAAGACAGAAATTCTGAGATTTAATTCCAAACAGCTGTTTTACTTCGGGAGTAATATGTGATTATGAGACTATGCTTCAGAAAACCAATGGGCATTCCTGTGTACACTAGAAATAGAAACAAAGGCTCACTTCATTGGGGCATTCAGAGGGACCTCTTGGTTCCTGGAAATCTAAATCTGAATTCTTACTTGCCACATTAGATTACTGTTGAATGTAGGACTCCTCAACCCCTAATGGTTGGGGATAAAAGTAAAGATAAAGAAATCCCTTTATCACATGGGTTAAATGATTAAGTAAAGATACAGATACCCCAAATCCTGAAACATTTTGTTGCTATTTTTTTTTTTTTTTTTTTGAGAGAGGGTTTCTCTGTGTAGTTTTGGTGCCTGTCCTGGATCTCGTTCAGTACCGGCTGGCCTGGAACTCACAGAGATCCGCCTGGCTCTGCCTCCCGAGTGCTGGGATTAAAGGCGTGCGCCACCACCGCCCGGCAATATTCTCTAATTTTAACCTGTACAAAAAGTGTGTTGGGTGTGTTCATTCATACCTTTAATCCTAGCACTAGGAAGGCAGAGACAGAAAGATCTGTCTCTCAGAGGTATGATACAAGGAAATCTCAAGTTCAAGGCCAACCTGGGCAATTTAGTGAAGTCCTCTTTCAAAAGTTAGTGTGAAAGGCCTAGGGGTAGAGCCCAATGATAGAGTGCTTACCTGGTAACCCAGAGTCCAAAGTGCAAACTATGAAGAGAACTTGAAATATAATACATAAAAAAGTATAAATGGTGGGCTCAATAGTATACACCTTTAACTCAGCAGAGGTAGGTAGGTGGATCTATTTATGTTCCAGGTCAGTCAGAGTTAGTGTGAGACTGTCTCAAAAAAAGAAAAGAAAGAAAGGAAAAAAAGGTAAAAGTGAATGTTATTTTATGAAGCCATAGTAAAAGTCCTTACTTTGGAATTTTTTATTTTTTATTTTTTATTTTTTTATTTTTTTTTTGGTTTTTTGAGACAGCATTTCTCTGTGTAGCTTTGCACCTTTCCTGGTACTCGTTTTGGAGACCAGGCTGGCCTCGAACTCACAGAGATCCACCTGCCTCTGCCTCCCGAGTGCTGGGATTAAAGGTGTGCGCCACCACCGCCCGGCCTACTTTGGAATTAAATTATATTAGAATTAAGATTCACAATAATATAAATTCAGACATCAAGAGGGATCAAAATATAATTAATTTTTTCTAAGGTATGACATTAGACATGGGATTTTAAAATATTTGTATTGGGGTAAATAAAGGACTAACGATTTAATTATTAGGGTAAGAACATAGATCTGTACGTAATTATAGCAAGTTTATATAGAGGAAAATAGAATAGAACTATTTAATTCCAGCCAGATGGTAGTGGTGCAGGCCATTAATCCTAGGACTCAGGAGGCAGAGTCAGTTGGATCTTTGAGTTGAGGACAGCCTGGTCTACAGAGTGAGTTCCAGGACAGCCAGGGCTACACAGAGAGCCTTTGTCTCGAAAAACCAAATGTGTATATGTTTATGACAGAGTTTATCTGTGTGAGAGAGAGAGAGAGAGATTCTAAGTTAGATTATAGGAAAAATAACCAAGGGGCTCAGAAAGGATGTGATATAAGTGTGGTTTATCAGGAATGACATGAAATTCCAATGTAAAAAATAGCAAGTTCTGTTTTAATACCCATGCATTGTATTAAAACATCCATTTATGTTACTTCTATAAAGCACATAGTAAGTGTTTGGGATATTTTATTGATAAAACATTATTTTTTATTTTATTTTTGTTTTTTTGAGAAAGGGTCTTACTGTGTAGCTTTGGCTGTCATGAAACTCTGTAGACCCTGCTGGCCTCAACTCAGAGATCTGCCTGCCTCTTCCTCCCCAGTGCTAGGATTAAAGGAGAGTACTACCACACCCACCTCTGATAAACATGTAAATATTTTCTAATTTTATCCTGTACAATAGGTGTTGGGCTGGGTGTGGTCAAACACACCTTTAATCTAAGCACTAGGAAGGCAGAGACAGAAGGATCTCTGTGAGTTCCAGGCCACTCTGGTCTCCACAGTGAGAATCTGTCATAAAAATTGTGAAAATTTATCTATTTCTTCTTCTCCTTCTCCTTCTTCTTTTTTGTTGTTGTTGTTTTGAGACAGAGTTTATCTGTGTAACAGCCCTGCCTGTCCTGGAAATCACTCTGAATCCAGGCTGGCCTTGAATTCGAAGAGATCAACCTAACTGCCTCCATGGGATTAAAGGTGTGTACCACCACCACCTGGCCTTTTTTGTTGTTGATTTCTACTTTTATTTTTATAGAATGTATTTGGAGATGTTAAACTATTGAGAAAAAAAATGGATATATTTAAAATGCTGATATGAAAAGTTGTTGAGATAATGGGTATGCTAATTAGATTAGAGGTGTCTTTATACTTAGAACATTCAATATATTTTTTTTTCTGTTTTTTGAGACAGGGTTTCTCTGTGTAGTTTTGGTGCCTGTCCTGGATCTCACTCTGTAGACAGGCTGGCCTCGAACTCACAGAGATCCTCCTGAGTGCTGGGATTAACTGCGTGAGCCACCGCCGCTTGGCTCAATTGTTCTTTATAAACAGCTTTTTGTTGTTGTGGTTTTTTTTTTTTAAGATTTGTTTATTTATTATGTATACAGCATGTATGACTGCAGGCCAGAAGAGGGCACCAGATCTCATTACAGATGGTTATGAGCCACCATGTGGTTGCTGGGAATTGAACTCAGGACCTCTGAAAGAGCAGTCAGTGCTCTTAACCTCTGAGCTATCTCTCCAGGCCCTTGTTGTTGTGTTTTTTGAGACAGGGTTTCTCTGTGTAATATAGTATCAGCTATTCTGGAACTGGCTTTGTATACAGGCTGGCCTCCAACTGATAGAAATCAGCCTGCCTCTGCCTCCTGAGTGCTAGGATTAAAGGCATATGCCACGATTCCCAGTTTATAAAATTTTTCTAAATGTAACCTTTAAGAGTTTAAATATAATGAAGTGTTATTAACACTATCGTAACCTCAGGTATTTAAAAGCTTTTTATCCATTAACAATATCAATAATATTTTTGCTTTTGTATATATACTTAAGTATCCTCAAATCTCAAGGGTATGAGACAGGAACTCCTGTGGATTGTCTATTTATTGATCACTTTATCTACACTAGTATAATCTACTACCCAGTTTATTCCGTGGTTAGGTTATCTACCAACTGATTTATTTCCTAGCAGTTTTAACACTCATTGGTTTATTTGCAGGTTATCTATCTCTAGTCCTATATAAAAGGAGAATTAGACGAGAAAGACACTGCCATTTCCAGCAACCCAAGCCCTGTCTGCATCTCTGTTGTGGAGCCTTTCGGACAAGCCCTACAACCATGGAGGGACCTTCAGGAAACCCACTTCCAAATCAGCCTTTGCTAGTGAGTATGCAATTCACACGAACTGTAGAATGTTCACTCTTGTCCTTTTTCTTTATATTAACATCCTTCATTTAATGCATAGCTGTACTTGACACAAACTGATATCCTGTGGGAAGCTGTTAATTGCTTGTTGTTAAAATTTGTTGGAAGAAATTTAAAATGTACTTCATCAGCCCATAATGAGAAGGAGTCCTGTGAAATGCACTGCTGGATGTTTTTTGTCCTTGTGTGAACATCTAGAGTGTTCTTCCATAAACTTAGATGGTGTACTTGTGCAATAATGATAACTGTGTGTCACTGAGGGTAGGTTTGGAACATAAGCATGCTGTGACCATAAGAAAGAAAAGAGTAGCATTCTTATCCTTGAAAGTCACATGAGTTAGATGTCCCAGAAGCCTGGTAACTAGAGCCTTTATTGCAGCAACATTGGGGATCTAGCAAAATTTCAAATTCTGGGCCCTACCCTAGACATATTTGGATTACAGATATTTGACTTTTAGAAACTTTCACAAATGACTTTAGCCTATGCTGGGATCTAAGACCTAAAAAGGATGGTAGAAAATCCATGAACTGAAAATTCTGCATAACTACTAGTAGATTCCTTCCTCTGTGTTGTTTAAATTTTACTTTCTCCCAAAGGGGAAGCTCCAAAGAAGTATGATACCTGAGAAATTACAGAAGAGGAGGGCCCAGGCTGCCAAGAACAAGGTCAAGGCCAAACACCGATCTGGGGTCACTCCTGTTCTTCCTGTGAGGCTGACCAGTTGCATCTTCACGAGGCCTGTGACTAGAATAACTTCCCACCCTGGGAGTAAGACCATGCGCAGGAAAGAGGAAGAGAAGCTGGTGAAACCCCGGCAGCTCTGCGCATTAAGGAGACTGCAGGAATATCAAGAAGACAGTAAAGGGGAACAGTTACATCCATTGGATCTTAAAAACGCCGTACAAAGAAGTGCTCTGGGAACGCAGGCTGGAGACAGAGTTCCAACAGCTGCTAACGATCTGCACACTGAAGGGGAACAGTTACATCCGTTGGATCTTACAAACTCTGTACAAAGAAGTGCACTGGGAACGCAGGCTGGAGCCAGAGTTCGAAGAAGTGCTATGGACCTGCACACGTCCCCGGAGTGCACCTCTGTCCAGCCCCTGAGTTCGGAAAAGAAGGTGCAAGGGACTCCTGAGCCATTGCCGCCGTCTTTCTACAGTCAAAGGGTAACAACGGCTGTGACTTTTCAGCTGTCACCTTCTTTCTACAGACAAGGGGTAACTACTGCAGACATCCGGCGACAGACCCGGAGGGTAAAGAAAGCCCGGAAGAAACTGGCTGCGGCCTTGGAGGCAGATAGGCTTGCCAGGCAGGCTGAGAATATGGGGAATGGAACATAGCTGAGTGTTATGAAAACTGAATGAAAACAGAGTGTGGTAGCCTCTGCAATTTCTCCATAAAGGAAGTTTGTATGTCTTTTTTGTTTTATTTTTTGAGATAGGGTTTCTCTGGGTAGCCCTGGCTGTCCTAGGACTCTGGAGACCAGCCTGCCTCTGTATGCAGAGTGTTGGGCTTAAAGGTGCCTCCACCACCCAGCATTACTTGTATGTCTTTATACAATAACCCTACTCTGATGATGAGGATATACACAAATCACTCCTTTTAAAGCTCATTTTGAAAGCCAACAAAATGACCAGTAGTGTTTTAAATAAATGTTTTCAATTTTGTTAGAAATGATCATGAAAATATCCTTTAGATCAGCTATGATCCACAGTCGGACTCTGGAATAGATCCAACACCAACCCACAAAGCAAAGGAAATTCCTTATTTTATAGCATTTAGATGAAAAGGGTCTATGACTTAGCAATTAGTTTAGCGAAGCTATTAGGTAGATTACAAAGCCTTCACTCAAGCTAGGCAGGCCTGGCTAGCTTGAAGGTAACCCTCTGTCCTTCCCTACCATGGGACTGCTACTTGCTAGGTGTTTAGCTTCTAGTGATGGTACTAGATCACATATAAGACTGAAACTCTGGTTGCCTTAGCCCTGGAAAGAGAGAAGCTGCAGCTGTTAATGGCTAATCCCCTCTCTAGTGTTATGTCTATGACCTAACAAGTAGATAGTTATATAATATTCAGTTTATTGGGAGAAGAAAGGGGCACTTTACTCAAAATTGTTCAATTTCAGGCTATAATTTTTTAAAACTTGGTGATTATTGGAATCTCATTATGTGGACCAGGTAGGTCCTGAATTTGATCCTCCTGCTTCAGCCTGACGAATGGTAAGATTACAGGCAAGCATTCCACATCTAACTGTATTTTTTTTTCACTTTTTAGTCTATAGGAATAATCTAGCCTGAGGCACTATTTAGTGTTTTATGCTAAGTATTTAACTTAACACTTATATTAATGAAAGATGATCCAGGTGCTGCAGCTTTAGACACCATTGTCTTGGACTTGTTTTGTGGAACTCCCTGTTGTAATTCTAAACTATCAATAAAGGTTTCCATTTTAAATACAAGTCCAGAGATTCTTTTATATGATGGTAATTTGATGCCATAAAAATATTATAGATGTGGTTATAGCTATCATTTATCTATCCCTCTATACTAACTCTCTACCATGAGCTACACCTCCATCTCCTACAGCTAATTTGAAAATAAATTCATTTTTTATTATATAAAGCTACATAAGGTCATTTGCATTGGAGAATACAATGCAGCTGGGCATGGTAGCACACACCCTTGATCCCAGCAGAGGCAAGCCTGAATCTACACAGCTAGTCCAGGATAGTCAGAGCTACACAGAAAACCTTGTCTCAAAAAACCAAAAACCAAAAAAAAAAAAAAAACCCAAAAACCAAAAACCAAAAAAAAACCCATAAAATAATAATTTCATTTTGACATATTCCCAGTACCTCACTATCCTTCCTCTCCCACAAATCTTTTGTTTCCTGTTATTTCAATTTCTACTTTCATGTCACCACTATATGATTCTATGTATCTATAAAAGACTCACAAACGTCTTTGAGACATAAGTATACCAGAGGACATTTTTTCAGTGACACGTCTTGATGTCAGGGCCATTACCTTCAGCCTCACTTTATCTACATCTTCCCAGATATAAATGAAGTATTTAATGTAATGAGCCAGAATTTGATGGAATAGGAAAGAATCCTGAGGGGAGTTTGACTGCACCAGGAAGGGAAAATTGTTGGTTAAGTGGCGGTGCTTGTGGCTGGCCGCTGCCTGGGGCGGCCATGCCAACAGAAGACAGCACTGGATGCTGCCCTGGCAGAAGAATCATGAGCCATGGTTACCTTTCTAGAGCTTTATTGGGAGGGAGGGAGGGAGGGAGGAGAGAGAGAGAGAGAGAGAGGGAGGGAGGGAGGGAGGGAGGGAGGGAGAGAGAGAGAGAGAGAGAGAGAGAGAGAGAGAGAGAGAGAGAGAGAGAGAGAGAGAACGCAGAGGGGAGAGAATATGGAAGGAGAGAGTGGTGCGGAAAGAGAGGGCACAGAGAGGGCACGCCCGCTTTTTAGGCTGGGATGCTGTCGCAGGCTAGTGACATAATTAAGGACATAATCCTTACAAAAATAGCCTCAGACACGTAATGGTTATTCTTGGTTAACTTGATTAGATGGTGAGATATAAAGCATTTTAATAAAACACACATCTGAAAGTTTTTCAAAGTTAAAAAAAAAAAAGCAACTGAAACACCTCTGGGGATATCCATGAGGTCAGCTCCAAAGTTCATTGGATCCTGGGGCTTAATCCTAATCAAAGGCTTAATGCATGAATGCATTCAAAATCTGAGTAGAGCTGGATTGCTAGAGGTTTGTTTTGAAGATTATAACTTTTTTTTTTGTTTGGTTTTTGGAGACAGGCTTTTTTCTATATAGTCCTGGAATTCTGTAGAGCAGACTGGCCTTGAACTCGGAGATCTGTCTGCCTCTGACTCCCTAGTGCTGGGATTAAAGGCCTGCACTACTACCTCTAGGCCTGAAGGTTAAATTGTGATAATGGCTCCTACCTGTTACCCTCTGATTCCTAAGCATCACTAGGTGCGCATCTCTTACTCATACAGTGCATGTATAACATTTTGGTATTATGATGTTATTGTCTACATAGTTCATGCTCAAGAACTGCAACTGAGTTTTTTAAGTGCACAAAACAAATCTTTTAAGTAGGTTTATAATTTTGTGTTGTACTGAATTCCTAGCTATCCTTAGTTACATGTGCCTGCATACTGCCCTTGGGCCACAGGTTAGGCACAGCTGTCAGTGATCACACACTGCTCCCATGATGTTCTGTCACAACCACAGCCTAGATATAGAAGTCTAATTATAGATTTGAACTTTTGAAAGTGATCAAAAAGAAAAAAAAAACTTCCTTCCTGTGAACCAATTAAAAAAATGTATTTGTCACAGTATTAATGCCAACTCATAGAGTAGGTTTGGGAGGATCCAGAATTTTTTGGACTAATCTGAAGATCTTTGAAGTAGTTGTTAGCAGTGGTGACTGGAATAAACCTGATTACAGTGGGTCAAATAGTGAACAGCAAAAAATGAAGGAATAGCTATGCCTTGTACCTTTTATAACATGTTCTGGAGTTGTCTTATGGGTAGTTGCTTACCAGTTCCATGATCTTTGAGTAGTAATTACTCCAGCCCTAGTCTATAGAGGCTCTCTTTAGTTATCTGCTGTGGCGGATCTTTTTGAGTTCGAGGCCAGGCTGGACTACCAAGTGAGTTCCAGGAAAGGCGCAAAGCTACACAGAGAAATCCTGTCTCCAAAAACCAAAAAAAAAAAAACCTTGCTTCAGCTGGCATTTGGGTCACAGTTCAGCTCTTAAACCTGTTCTGTGGCCCTGACTGATCAGACCCTCCAGCCCCCTCCTTTATTTGTGCTCCCCTGTATAAAATCTTGCTTTGCCAAAACCTCTTATGTCTGTTTGGATTGATTCAGAGCCTCAGACCACAACATTGGATTATGTGAGTGTTAAATGTTTTTCTATCTGCCCTTAAGTAAGACACTGTACAGGATAAATTGCCCATATTCTTTGTAGTTCCATGAGGTTCTTATTTGTGTGGTACAAGCTTTAACTCTAGGAACCCAGGGATTTAGGTTCTTGAATTTTCTGGCAATGACTGTCTCACACCCCCCCGCCCCCATTTTCACACAAAAATCACAGGTGGAAACAATTCCTAGGATTCAAGTGGGAGTATTGATACTTGGGCATCACCCAAGACAGTACAGCAGAGAGGGTTCCTGGGAAATATGAATTCTCTATTCAGATGACAGACACAACTAGACAAGATTCTGAAAAACAAAAGGATACCACCTGAGAGGTTTCCATCTGCCTAGTGGTATTGGGTTAGACTACAGGAGCTGCTGCCTCACAGATGTGGCTACACTCAGCAGCCTCTCTATCCCCACACTTGGGATAGGATCTTTCAGTTTTCCCCTCTCAGGCCTCTCTGAAAGATTTGTGAGAACATTGCTTTTTTTTTTTTTTTTTTAAACAAAGGTGATTAGTCATCCGCCCCCCCCCCCCACACACACACACACTGAAAGTAGTAAGCCCCACAAGGACTAGTATTAGCCAATTGCATCAGAATATGAAGCTGAGCTCCCTCCCACTGGAGAGACTGCAGTCAACATTTTCATTAGGGATAAAAGACAGAAGCCATCCTGGCCAAGTGGGCTGATAGTCAGGTTTGGCTTTGTTGTATGACATTTTGTTGTTCTGACAAAGTTTGCCTGGAGATCAAAGGGCAGAGCTAGCCACTAGTTAACCATAGAGGCCAGGCTGTGGTGGCACACACCTTTAATCCCAGCACTTGGGAGGAGGAAGCAGGAAGATCAGGAGTTTAAGGCCAGCCTGGGCTAAACAAGATTGAACCAGTCTAAAATAGAAACAGAGCTGGGTGGTGGTGGTGGTGGCTCACAACTTCATCCTAGCACCTGGAAAACTCATGCCTTTGATCCCAGCATTTGGGAGGCTCATGCTTTTGATCCCAGTACTTGGGAGGTGGAGACAGGAATATAAGGCAGGTGGAAACAGGATCTCAGCCCCCACTTTTGGTCTGAGATTTTGTAGAGGTAAGAAGTCTCTGGTGGCTGGTTGCTCTGCTTCTCTGATCTTTCAGCTTTCACCCTGATATCTGACTCCTGGTTTTTACTGATAAGACTAATTAGGTTCATGCTTCAGGGTTTTGTGCACATTTTCTATAGAAAGAATTATCTTGCTGAGACACTTTTGCTTTGCTGGTATGTTCCTCTGTGTGACACAGAAAATTATTTGTTTCTAACAGGAAGGATCTCTGAAGGCTTGTTCTTTAAATTTATTAAAATTAATTTTCCTTAATAATAAAAAGTATTATTAGGGTGTGTGAAGTGTGAGTACAGGCGTATGTGTGCCAGGGTGCACAGGTAAAGGTCAGAAGACAACTCTGGGTAGTCAGTTCTCTCCTTTTACAGTGGTTTCTGGGGATCAAACTCTGGTCATCAGGCCTGCACAGCAGCTACTATTCCCCACTAAGCCATTTTGCTGAACCTGTCCTGTTCTTCATCCATTCTTTCTTGATCCCTAATATTCATGAGGACTTTAACTAGTGAAAGCCCAAGCACTCAGTGACTCATGAGTCAGACTAGGTGGGACTGATTTTTTTTTTTTTTTGTATTTCCTCAGATTATGTAGCTACAAACTCGAGGAAGAATGAGTAGATATATTATGTTAACCTCAGTTTCTCCACTTTTCCACATAGACAAACGATCCCATCTCTACCAAATCTCACATGCTAGGCTTCCAGGGGGCTCTTTCATTTCTTGTTTAAAAGTGTTCCCTAATTCAAGCAGATCAGATGCAGTTTTTTTGTACAAGACAACCAGACACCCACCCATCTGCATGCCAGTACAGATTTTCTTCTATATTAAAGGACAGACCTGAAGGATATCTTCTATCATTTCTACTTTGTTCTTTCCTTACTGTTCAATTCTTCCCATGGATTCCAACTTCTTTGGTCCCAAGAAGGTGTCTTCAGCACAGGTCTAATTAGTAGTCTTCTTTCCCTTGCACCTTGCCAGCAATAATAGCGACACCGGTATTTCATCCACTCTCTCATTTGAACAATTTCCTACTAAAGGTACTCATAACAGGCAGAACAGTATCATGCTTTTCTCCCTGTAATTCTCTTATTACATGGACAAGTTCCTTACGGGCAGGCAGTGGGACCTGTTGTCTTTCACCACCCACAGGAAAGGGCATACAACTGCCATAAGCTGCTTACAATCTGGTCCCATAGTGCCACTTTTTGAGAACTGTTGTATGTTTTCTAGTCCATTGGCATTTTTACTAGTACACCCATACTCTTGCAGTGGACCCCAGTAAAGTGTGCCACCCCACCCCATGCAGAGAAAGACTGTCCTAATTAGTTCTAACTGTCCACTTTATAAAAACAGTCATCAGACATGAGAGCCTCGATTGAGGAATTGCCTAAATCAAATTGGTGCAGGAAGGCACAGCCTTAGTGTGATCACCTTAAGGTGATCCTTAGTTATATAACTGAGACAGAGAGTGAGCAAGCAAGCGAGCTTTCTGCCTAGAGTTCTGCCCTAATTTCCCTCAATAATAGGCTATGACTTGGAAGTGTGAGATAAAATAAATCTTGTCCTCCCTTATGTAGCCTTTGGTCAGGGTTTTATCATAGTGACAGAAATAAAGTTCAGTCACCCTGGATATTTTTCCCAAAGATACTCTACTTCGATGGCTCTACCTCAGTTGCATGTCTTATCATTTATATCAGATCGCATGAAACTACCACTAAAGCAAAGGAGGCACACTGTCTCCTATGACATGGGAAGGCCTGTGTCAGGTGATACTCCACCCTCAAAAGGATCAGCTTCAGGAGTCCATCTTAATTATCATACAGAGCTCATGCAGCTAATCCTCCCAAAGAGATCTTTGGTTCTGCCTGTTCCTGTATGGGTGCTCTGTTTATGGTATATGACATTCTGTGGAGATGTAAAAAATGTCTACTCCCCAGATAGGGTGCTAGAGCCAGATCAAGGAAACAAGTCCATCACACCTGGCTTGGCAAACCAATGAATTACTGAAGGTTACTTATAGGAGTATGGATGACTCTGAGGCTGCTATAACAACAAAAACCCTATCCAAGCATGGGAGATAACAAAAGAAACTACATCCTTGGGTTCCCTTTCTAATTTATTAGCAGTTCCACACATACAAGTTTTCTATGTAGCAGCAATTGTTTACTATTCATAATCTGGGGGACAACCCCTGAGCATTTTGAGTCCTGATGGTTTGACAAGTTTCCTGTTTCATTAGCTTCCTCTCCCAATGTCATTCAGGGCATCCTTGTATCCTCTAGGAGAGAATATTTCAATTCAGCAAATACCTACACAACAGTTCCCAGAACATACTCAATAGATGGGCTAGTATTAAGATAATAGACTGACTTATGTTCAAATCAGGACTATACTATTATTAGCTGGAGAACTCAGGCAAGTGACTGATGTGTGCCATATTAACTTCTTCATTGGTAAACTGGGAATAATAAGAGAACACACTGATGTTTATTTAGAGTACTCAATAGTTATTTATAAGGCATTTCTGCTTGTCTATGAGAAGCACTACATAGTGTTTGACCATTTATTATCAATGCATTATAGTCCTTTGTTATGAAAAAATGTAGTCCCTATAAAAAGGAACACTTCACAGAAAAAAGCACCCAATCTTGTATGCACCTAGTTATAGAACTTCAGAATAAATAGAAAAAAAAAAAAGGACAAAGTTCTAAGAATGTCAATCTATAATCACAGTGGAAGACTACCATGGCTCTACTACAAAATTATTTTAAAAGAAAACAATTTGTATATACTGCTAACATTGAATGTGTTAATGTGCATACACCCTATATCAACATGTAAGAGAATATATATTACTTTCAAAAAACTATGGATATTATTTGACAAACAGGTTTACCAGTTAGACATGCATTAAGATGGAACTTAACATTGCTTCAAAAACAAACAGCAAATCATGTTGGCTTCAACCAGCAAGGGGTTACTTTTAATCAAAGCATGAATTAAAAAAAACAAAAAACAAAGGAATCTAGAACTAATGTACTCAGTCAGAGGTTTTTGAGGAAACTAAATCATTGTTACTGTTCCACTGCTTACATCATCATGATCAAAACAAGAGAAAACAATTCTCACTCCAGATCATACAGCCACTTGCCAAGAGGAAGTATGAGAGGAATAGAAAATAAATGAGAAGTCAGGCTTTTCCTTCGGTCTCCAAATTTCATGGTGCCAGTCTTGAGGCTTCAAGAAATCCTGGCATATTATTTTAATACACTTGCAGATTTAAAAAAATATTGATTTTGTTGTTGGGCTGATGTGTGTGGATGTCAGAGTCTGTTGTCTACTTTCACTGTCTGGGTTCTGGGGACTGAACTCAGGTGATCAGGTCTAGTGGCAAGCACCTTCACCCAGTGAGCCATCTTGTTGGCCCTAAGCAGCACAAAATGGACACTAAGTACTTGCAGGACAGAAAGAAGAAAAAAGATCAATATCAAAAAGTCCTATACTCTTGACAAAAATACTATGTTAGCCAGTTCTAGCTTGCATCAAATTCACAATCCACCTTGTCAGCCTCCTGAGCGCTAGGATTACTAGTGTGTGTCACCACACCCAGCCCTTCAGAAGACAAGCTATAAATACACTACACTGAATTTCTGGAAAAGTGAAGGGCTGTTTTTTGGGGTGGGGTTATACATATAAACATACATGTTTATAAAACAAAGATTGAAAATTAATAAACTGGTAACTGAACCTACAGATACTACCTACTGGTAGAGGTATCCCCACACTCATCCATTTCATTTCCTGTATAAATTATTACAGTTACTCAGCAGACAGCTGATGCTGGAGCATCCTGACATGTATTACTTCACTTTCCTAAGGTGTCCCTCTAATTTATGTGCTTAGAAGAATTATTGCCAATTTTTTCCTGCATCACAGGAATCCTCAAACACTTGCCAATGCCTATGATACTCAAGGGGGCTTATCAGAAAGCATTTTCATACCTCTTTAAGAAAGGAAAAGAGTCGAAGATTTCCCATTATCACAGCAGAGCACCTCATTATCTGTGGTGAGTAATGTGAACACTTTGCTATACAGTTTTCTGAATTTCTTTTGTTTTTCAGTGGTGTGATTTCCCACAAGAAAGACTGTGAGGACTGACATCACTGAAGACCATTACCACATGACCAGCATTCTACTTACCAGTTTTTTTCCACTACATAATCTTTGGGACACATTATAAGTGAACTAAAAAGCTTTATCACACAGGTGTCTTTGCAGAAAGATTTAACAATTTACCAAATGTCATTTCACACTGATTAAAGGGATCAAGGTCTACCGAAAACTTCATCACTTTCATGGCAAGTTTCTCAGATGGTTCTCGGAGAGCTGCCTCCTGACCCTCAGATAGTCTGGAGTTTTCTCCCACACTGTATCAAGGTCGGTCTGTGTTTGACGAATACAATAAGGGAAGAAGTGAAAATATAGCTTTTGGAGGCCAGGTCATATTTCATTTTTTAACTGGCTTCTCTTGGAAGGAATCACCCTTCCCTTGGGGGAGGAGGGATTGTTCTTTTGCCATATTATAAAGATATGTAATCACACGGAGAGGCCTACATGGTGAGTCAGTGTACCAGCAGTCAATTCCTAGGCATGTGAGAGTGAGCATCCTAGAAGTGGTTCCTTCAATGACAACTTTAGAAGATGCAGCTCTGATGTCTTGAATGCAAGCTCATGAGAAGTCCTGAGGAAGAACTACACAACTAAGATGTCCTCATATTCCTGACCTATAAAGTGTGAGGTATTTGTTTAAAGCCACAAAATTTGGGTGAGTTTATACACCAATAGATAACATGTACACCTGATGTAAATTCTCTCGAGTTATCTTAGATCAACAAAGCTTTCTCTTAGTAATTTCTCATCACAATTCATATCCACCTGTTATGTACTCTTTTGTGCACAGAGAGGTAGGAGTTACTGGTGAAAGATTTTCCACAATGGTTACATCCATAGGGTTTTTGCCCAGTATGAGTCATTAAGTGCTTCTTCACAGCTGAGAGATTATTAAAAGCTTTCCCACAGTGACTGCATTCATATGGTTTTTCTCCGGTATGTATTCTCTTGTGTACAGTTAGAGAAAAGCTACTGCTGAAGCACTTCCCACACTCACTACATTCATAGGGCTTCTCTCCAGTGTGAGTTCTTAAGTGCTGGGTTAGATATGAGCTCTTCCTGAAGGTTTTCCCACAATCCTGGCACTCAAAGGGTTTTTCTCCAGTATGAATGCTATTATGTCCAGTGAGAGAGGATCTTGTACTGAAGGCCTTTCCACACTGAGTACATTCATGGTGATTCTCACCCCCTGTGTGAATTCTCTTGTGGCTTTTGAGGTTACAGCTGGTACGAAAGACATGAAAACACTGGTTACATTCATAGGGCTTTTCCCCAGTGTGAATTCTTACGTGAAGTCTGAGGGATGAGGGATCACTAAACGCTTTTCCGCAGTGATTGCATTCAAATGGTTTCTCTCCATTATGGATTCTTTTGTGAACAGTAAGATAAGATTTACTGCGGAAGGATTTTCCACACTGACTACAGTCATAGGGTTTTTCTCCAGTATGAATTCTCTTGTGCTGAGTAAGGTTAGATTTCGTGCTGAAGACTTTAAAACATTGATTGCATTCATTGATTTTCATTCCATGATGATCTCTTTCCTGTTAATTATGACATAAATTTTAACTATAATTTATAATATCAATACTATAACATGCTAAAATAAGATTCCTTCTCCCAGAAAAATCTATGACATTATAAAACAGTTTGGCTCTTTAGTGCTTATATATAACTTCTGCTTAGTTTGAGCTTGTTCAAAGGCACAGCCACTTGTCTATATATCCTTATATTCAAAAACATTTCCTGATAATTTAGGACCACTTACGTTTCAAGCACCCAACATCTGATTCACGCTTAATGAAATGGGAACTTGTGGGAATTCTCAGGGAAAAAATATGTCTGAAGTTGGCTTAATGTTTTTCTCTATCAAAATATCATCGTTTCATAGTACCTTCCTAGATACATCACTTCCTCAAGTTTAGATGATACTGTTCATGATGACTCTCTGGGTTTCCTATCTTTTCTAACCTGGGAAAACCAGAACTCATTACCTCCAATTTGACTGTTTTCCCGCCATTAGCATCTTCTTTGCTAAAGACATGCTCCTTAGGAGTTAGCCATTTGGCTTTAAGTACAGTCTCCAAATCTGAAACAAATTAAAAAGAAAAATAAGTCAACAGAAGAAAAAAAGTGGTGAGGTTCATACATGATTTAAGAGACTCTGGGAGATCAGAATACTTGGTAAAGACTGGAGAGAAGGGGGAGTTGGATCTGGAAATTTTAGGAGTTAAAGAAAATGTATTTTAGACATATATTGAGATGGATAAGAAATGGACAAAATAAATGATCAGGAATGGAAACTGTGACTTAAAATTTACAATTTCTTTTTTATTTTTAATTGTTTATATGTGCTTGTATATACTGATATCTATGGTAAAGAGAGGGGTTGGGTTCTCCTGGAGCTAGAATTATAGGCAGGTAGGAGTTTTCCTATGTGGTTGCTGGTAACTGAACTCTGGTTCTCTGCAAGAGCAGTACGTGCTCTTAACCTTGGAGCCATGTCTCCAGCCTATGACTTAAAATCTGTAATGCAAAGAACTGCATCTTTGTTTTTCCTTCACAGGCCAAGGCATGAGATGACAAAGGCAGAGTTGAGAGAAAAGTAAAAACAGTGGTAGTTCCTATCTACCTTTTTCAGAGGAAAAGAATACCTTCCTTTTCACTCCTGCTTCCCAGGCCATAGTTGATAGGATTCCAACCCCGCCCCATGGTCGTGCATGCCCAGTGGGACACTTAGTCATCTCCACCTAGTCATTTCTGGATCAAACGTCCTGTCCTGCGTGACCCAGGCCCCATGTTTGTGGTCACGTAGTCACGTGGATGTGATCTCTGAGCATGGGCCTGCTGTGCAGATGTGTCCTGGCCTTTATAAGGCAGTGCTATGTTCCCCGGGTCTCTGTCTCTCTCTCCCTGTCCGCCTCTCTCTGGCCCTCTCTTTCTGCCAGGCCTGGCTTCTCCTGTCCTATCCCCTCTTCTCTCTAATAAAGCCCATCTAACTCTGGTAACCATGGCTCTTGACTCTTCTGCTGAACAACCAGCACCATTATCCTTTCATTGGTGCTGTGGACTCGGATCTCGATAGGAAGTTCTCTTCACACCCAGCTTCTGGGGCTGAGTGTTGCAGGGAACCCCTGTACTGAGGGCCTCGACTGCCCACCGTGGATGCCCACTGTGCTCTTGCGACTGCTGCTGCGGTTCCCAGCCATTGGACCTACACACCACTCCTGCCGCTACCGCTGTGTCTCTCCACCACATGTGAGTCCTCCACTGTTTCCAGCTGTTTCCGCAGCTGAGCCTGATCTATATTCTTCACGACGGAACCCCTGGGGCTGCGTACCATGACACATTCTATCTTGACGAAGTATAGGATGCTGTCTGGCCCCTGGGGGGTCCTCTGGGTACATACGCCCCAGCCCTTATTCATAACTTGATGGCTTTTCGGGTAACCTGTGCTGACTCATAGATCTTTCTCCTTGCCTCAAGGACACCTGGGATTCGAGTCTGATCCTGGTTTGTTATTTTAATTTTTTATTTTTTTCTTGGCTGCAGCCATGGGACAAAGGGGCAGAAATTTGGCAGATACCAGTAAATCTGGCCTCATAAAACAGTTACTTTATCCCCAAGCTTTCTGCTAAAGCTTTCAACCCTTCTCCTTCCCCATGTTTTCTCTGCCACGTACAACCATTTCTGTCTAGCTGGCTTCTGCTTTCCGCTCTCCGGCAGTGGGAGGGCTCTCTACTGCTGTGTGGGCGGGCTCACTTTAACTCACCTTAACTCCTCCCACTCATTTTCAAGCTGCCATGAGAGGCACAGATGGGTCTGGAAGCTGGCTAAGATCCATGCAAATAAGTTTACAATAGTCAGGATGGCTCTGAAACCAGAAATCAGTTTATAATCTGCCTCCTGGCAGATCTTCCAAAAGTTGTCCTCAAGCCAGCAAACATTAAGGAAAAAAAAATTCAGGACACGGAGCAAAATCCATCTCTTATTCCCCAGACTTCCCCAAACTAAAACTTAAATATCTGGAGAGCAAGGCTCCTGACTCCACAGGCAAAAGTGTCATCTGTGGCATTCAAGGTGTGCCAGGAAAGAGATAAGAAGCCCGAGAACAAAATTGCCAAGTGCTGGCACTTGCTGACTCCAGAATGCTGTTGGGTCCCTGTTCTAAGTGTGGAAAAAGGACATGGGCTAGCAAGCGCCCTGCCAGGCCATCAACAGCCTTGTTGAAAGTGCCGCCTAGAAAGACAACCAGTCAGCTGACTGCCCCCCCTCCCCCCAGGGGGATAGACAAAGACCTCCAGCAGACCTAGGCTTGGCCACAGGCTCACAGGGAACCCAGAATGCAGCATGGAAGTGATCCATTTCTTTCCTTCTGGACACCAGAGCCACTGACCCGGTCCTGGGAGTTTTGGGATGTCATCTCTCCTTGTTTCCCTATTGTTGGGGTAGGGAGGACAGCCTTACCCACCTCACCAGACTTAATTGCACTTTCAGGGTTACTTAATGGGAAAAGATTTCTAGCTAAGATAGGAGCTTCCACATACCTCACTCCAGATCTACTGCCTGTGTTTCTCACGTGCACACAGACAGGGCCCTGATCTTTGCCTTGTCCCTAATTCCAAAGAAATAAGTTCTCATGCACCACAAGCTTTTCTCTTCCCAGTTCCCTCTTTTAACTCACTGCTTAGCTAATGTTACAGGACCACCACAGAACTGGAGTCCAGAGATCATCAAGTAAAAAACTGTAACAGCTAAAAGGTATTTATACCCCCAGACCCAAAAGTGTCTGGGCTCTACAAAAACAGACTTTAATATAACCATCTATTACTGTTAAATGCTCCAACAATTGATCACCTGTCTCCTGGATGCCAAACTAGTAAAGGAAACAGGTGCCTTAAAATAATTTGTCTCTGATAAAGCTTAACATGTTCCAATCTCTGTCTCTCCCATTAACACTAACCAATACAAGCAGAGTACTAAACACCACAAATGGTCACTAATTTTCTCATGGCTGCTCCTTAACATGTTCAAAATTTTTCCCAAGCTCCAGAAACCAGCTTAAATCCATCTGGACAGGTCAGATCTACTTCAGGCTTTTCCTGTCTCACCAGCATCCTGTCAGATACAAAAGCAGCCAGGGTACCAAGCCAAGATGGATGCATGGTTCCAGAGCAATGGATGACAGACAGAACATCATCCCACAATTCCTGTCTATCTCGGAAACTCCCTGCCCTATTCCCCCCAAGAACCAACTGATGCCCACCAAGTCAGCTGGAAGCAGTTTTTGGGAGAAATGATGCCCCACACCCACTCATCTGCCATCTTTTATAAAAGATAAGAGTCCGGGATGTTAGGAATTCTAACCACGCCCCATGGTAGTGCATGCTCAGCGGGACACTTAGTCATCTCTGCCTAGTTATTTCCGGGTCCTGTGTGACCCAGGCCCCATGGTTACACAGTCATGTAGTCACACAGACGTGACCGTGTGATCTCTGCACATGGGCTTGTGTGCACAGATGCATCCTGGCCTTTATAAGGTGGTGCCATGCCCCCCCCTCCGGTCTCTCTCTCTCTGCACCTCTCTTTCTGTTTCCTCTCTGCCAGGGCTGGCTCCTCCCCCTTCCCTCCATTAAAAGCTCTAAAAGGTACCACTGGGTTCTGTCGTGACTGTGACCTTTCCATGCAGTAACCAGCGCCAGCCACCAGTGCTGTTATCCTTTCAATAGTCTTCCCAGAAGAGCCCAGACCCACTTCTACTCACCTGGACAGATGCCAGGAATACTTCCTCTCTCCTCTATTATAGCCTTGTCCTCTTGCTCCAACTGGGATATCAGATTTGGTTTATCAAGGTGATGCCCTATTTATGGAGAAAATACATGTAATGTTAGAAAGATTATTCAAGTGCTATGCAACTCCATAAACCTGAAGCCAAACTTTTGAAGATAAAAAAATGTGACTTTAGCCGCAATGGAATAATTTTGTCTAAATTCCAAAGAACGTAGTAACTTTCATAAGGAACAAAAATATAAGTACCTCTACCTCAATTTCAAAGTAATGGGTTATTAATAATCCCAGATGTGCATGCCTAAGTTCAAATGTACATTTAAAAGGCCCTTAAAGTTTGAACTATAGAGAATATAAAGTCAGGACAAGAGAGAGGGTGAGAGAGAGAGAGAGAGAGAAAACATTTCTCAAGGAAGACATTAGACAGAAAGTTCCATGAAAATATGGGCCAAACCTGTTTTCACCACTGTGCTTCGAAATGCCTATTCACATTTAAGGAGATAAAAGTGCTTAAGAAAGACTTATAAAATTGACAATGAAAATGATGAAAAGGGAAATTCAACCCCCCCCAAAAAAAACAGTAAATAAACTTACACAAATAAATTACCTTTCTGGAACTACAAACTTCAAAAAAATTAAATCTGTTAGTAGAATGTTTAGTTATGGGAACAAAATCCAAATAACCCACCCCTGACTAAATCTGAGTAAGAGGGCTTCAGGCCATTTTTAACTGACTCATACCCATCCTTTCTCTGTTCTGGTTGCGTACTGAAGAGGGCAGCAAGCATTGTTTATCCCAGAGGGAGCAGAACAGAGCTTAGTCTATTTTCTTTTGGCTTCCAGGGACTTCCTGCAAGATTGGCTTAAAGGGTGTTCCTTTATTTGTTTAACCCCAAACTTAGACACACATGTGATAAACACATTTGAAAGTCAATGTATAAGAGAAAACAGAAGACACAAATAAGCCCTAAACCGAAAAGTATACTAAAAGAAGTTTGCTTAGAAGGTTATTGCAAACATAATGTTCTCCAGAATCAAGATTGTTACAGATAAATCCAAGGTAACAGCATACACCCAGGGAAGACCTTACAAGGCACTAGGCTCATATTCTTGGTTAATCTCTGGCTTTGCACGAAGCAGAAGGTCAAGGTAGTGTTAGCAACCATCTCGCTTAGTATTTATATGCCCTCATGCAAGCACGAAGTTCATTTGAAGAGATTAAGAGATTTAGGTTTTTGGTTCTAGTACTTCAAAGAAATATCTGACAAATTACCTGTGTCTGCACCTGATAAATCTAGATATTAGAAAATTAGTTCTGAAACATCAGTAACGCTACATTCAATGAATGACATGATAACCCCACAGACAGAGAAAAATCAGACTCCAGATTTGCTGCACCGATTGATTAACCTAATGCAAATCCAAAACACTCTAAAATCCAAACCTGGTTTTTAAACTTTTATTATTGAGAATTACACACATAATTACAATGAAACATGATCACATTTATATCCTCCTCAATAGGTCCCTCTCTCAATTTCATATCTCTCAGTTTCCATCAATTGCCACCAGCTCCCCAGGAGGCGGGTAGGATCTAGATATCATCTATCCTAACTATGAAGGAATTTGGCTGGCTTGATCTTATGCATGTTTTGTTCAAATAACCACGGCTGCTGTGAATTCATGAGTGTGCCAGCCACGTCATGCCTAGAAAGCCATATTTCATAGTATTCTTCTCCATCTTCCATATTTTATGTTCTTCCTATCTTCTCTTCTGTGATGTTCCTTAAGTCTTAGGAGGGTAGTGGTAATAAAGCTTTCCCACTTAGAAATGGGAAATGGGTACTGAGTCTCTTATTCTCAGGACTTTGACCAATTATGCATCTCTTCCATTGATTGCTCACCACTGCAAGAAGCTGATTTTTTAACCAAGGTTGAAAGTAGCCAAGGTCTATGGGTATAAGCACAAGGTACTTTGATAGCATGGTCATTTAGCAAAATAACAATAAAAGGTTCCATTCTAGGGCCTATGACTTTCCCAGCCATGGGCTTTTACTAGGATATTGCTAATAATATTTTAAAAGTCAAGAAGATCATTGTAAGTTTGAAGCCAACCTGGTCTAGCCTTATTACATAGGGAGACTGTCTCATAATATGAAATAGACAGAGACACACAGAGAAGACAGACAAATAGAGAAAGAGAGAAACCATGATTTTAAAAGGGGATAGAGTTCTATAATAATTGAGATTTCAATACTTTTAGTTTCAATAACATATTAATTCCTTTAAATGAGAACTGTGGTGATATTTTGTTTGTGCTCTCACAAATAAAGCTTGCCTGGAGATCAGAGTACAGAGTTAGCCATTAGAGGCCAGGCAGTGATGGCATACAGCTTTAATCACAGCACTTGGGAGGAGGAAACAGGAAGTGATATGTCTGGGCAGAGAGAGGAAGTGACAAGGCAGGGTGGAGAGAGGAGCTCGGCCCTTGCAGGCTGAGGACTCAGGAGAGGTAAGAAGTCTCTCTGGTGGCTGGCTCCTTTACCGATCTTTCAGCATTTACCCCAATATCTGGCTCTGGGTTTTTATTATTAAGACCAATTAGGATTCGTGCTACAGAGAACTGACCACCTAATGTCAGTAAAGAAACAATGGACATAAAGAATAAACGAAATGGCCCTAATGACATGTAAAGTACATGCACCAACAAGAGAAAACACATTCAACTCAAATGCACATGCAACAATGTCCAGCACTGACCAAATTAGGTAACAAAAGCAGTATTACTATATTAAAAAATGAAGCACCAGGTGTGGCTCTGTGAGACTATACTCTCAGCTACTTAGAAAGCTGACACAGAAATTACTTGAACATAAGAGTTCAAGAACAAGCAAGGCAGTGGTGGCTTATACCTTTAATCCCAGCACTCAGGAGGCAGAGACAGGTGATCTCTAAATTCAAGGCCAGCCTGGTCTACAGATCGAGTTCCAGGACAGCCAGGGCTACACAGAGAAATTCTGTCTCAAAAACCCAAAAGAATTAAAAAAAAAAACAAAAAAAAAAAACAGTTCAAGAACAGCCTGGGAAAGAGAGACTCAATTCCATAAGTAAAAATAAAATCACTACCACCATCCTGTAACAAAAATCAATGGCTCATGCTGTTATCTCCTCTAACAATAATGGAATAAAATTTCAAATGAGGAACAGAAGAATATACATTGTAAATCTTACTATTGTTAGGGTAATAACACTAGCCAGTGATCTACAGAGATAATTTAATAATGATCAAAACTGTCACTACCTTTCTACTTTAGAAAAATGAATGACCTCATTTTAAAATCTGTAAAATTTCTAGGAATCCTAAACAGAAAATAAACTCTTAAAAAAGAACAAAAAGGTCAAAGGAGTTTGTAGGGAGTTTGTTTAATGGGCAAAGTATTTACTTCAGCAATGTGAGTGAAAGTCTGGATCACCAGAACACATGTAAAGCTAGCTCACAAGACTAGCCAAAATAGCCAGCTGCAGGTTGTGTAAGAGACCATGCCTCAATGTATAAGGTGGAGAGCAATCAAGGACGACATCCAATGTTAACCTCAGTGTACCCACCCTCCCACATTGGTGCACACATATCATAAACACATACAAACACACACACTCCATATGTACATAGATTAAAAAAATACAATGGCCCGTATTCCCTACAAAGCAAGTTATCAAAACAGTATTGTATAACTCGGACACATGGACTACTGGAATAGAATTAAAAGCATTCAAGTACACTTATACATGCAAAGTAAATCAATCAATCTTTGATACATCATCCAAGACCATTTTACAAAGGCACTAGATAACTGTAGGCAAATGTAAAAGAAAGAATGAAGTTCAACTTCCTCTGCATCATCTGATCAAATGATCAAATACCTAAGGTAAGAATTAAAACCTATAAATTATTGGAAGAAAATACAGAAGGGTTTTTTTGTTTTTGTTTTTTTGAGACAGGGTTTCTCTGTGTACCCACAACTGTCCTGGAACTCACTCTGTAGACCAGGCCTGCCTAGTATTAAGAGATCCATCTGCCTCTTCCTCCCCAGTATTGGGATTAAAGGCGTGCATTACCACTGCCCGAGTTTTTTAAAAAGGTGCATTTAGTAATGTCTTCTTGAATATATCAAAAGCATAGGCAAAAAACAAAATAGAAAAAGAAAAAGAAAAAAGTAAGAAAGAAAAGCTAGAGGGGTGAAGAAGCTGTGGTGTCTGCTCAGCTATAGCTGAGTCTCTTGTGATTAACAAGAGACCAAGACCACTGTAGTAAAATCTTTGCCTTGTGGGGACAATGGATGCTGGGACTGCAGAATCAGCTGTGAATAAGAGAATAGCATAACTGAGGAAGAATTTTCTGGGAAGTGTCCCTCAGGGTCAGCACACAGAAGCTGCTGCAGTCCTCAAGGTGTCGAGACTGTACTTCATGCTGACAGCTAAAGTGAGTACTGTTGAGAATCTCCAACTTGGCAGGGCGGTGGTGGCGCATGCCTTTAATCCCAGCACTCGGGAGGCAGAGGCAGGCGGATCTCTGTGAGTTCGAGGCCAGCCCAGGCTACAGAGTGAGTTCCAGGAAAGCCTCCAAAGCTACACAGAGAAACCTTGAAGTGGTACTGTTTTTGAAAGCATGAAGGAATCCCTGAAGAGAGGCTGGGAGAGGCCCCTGGTGATGACAAAACCTCAGTTGCAGTAGAAGGCCCAGGACTGAAGGGGTCATAGAAGCTGAGAACCCTGGATGCTATTAGTTGAAGGTACAGCCAGCTCAGTTGCAGTGGAGACCAGAGCACTATGTTGGAGTGCCAGTAGAGTGGCATGATGACTAAAGACATCAGAAGTTGTAGAGTGGAGCTGGCCTAAGCCTAGGAGACAAGCTCTGTGTGCTGTGGAGGGTGGAGCTCAAGATAACGATTTAATCCCTTCAGAGAAGCACAGAGGACTGTGAATGGATCAGGAGACATCACGAGCCTAGCTTTATACTGTTGAACTTTGGTTTTGTTTTGCTTTGACTATAACTGTGCCCTGGTTTTTCCCACATGGAGTTAAGAAACTGTGTCTTTTTTTTTTTTTTTTTTTTTTTTTTTTAACTTTACAGGAGCCCACAGTTGAGAGATACTGAACTTTTAAAATAACTTTGGAGTTTTAGAGAGACTCTGGATATTTTAGAGATACTTTGAATATTTTAGAGAAACTCTGAACTTTGAAAAAGACTGGATATTTTAAAAAGACTAGGCTTAGAAAGTGATTGAACTTTTAAAGACTGTGGGACTTTTAAAAGTTAGAAGGTTTTATATTATTATTTTAATATTAAAATGAGATCTTGCTGGGCGGTGGTGGCGCACACCTTTAATCCCAGCACTTGGGAGGTGGATCTTTGTGAGTTTGAGGCCAGCCTGGTCTACAGAGTGAGATTCAGGACAGGCACCAAAACTACACGGAGAAACTCTGTCTCGAAAACAACAACAACAACAACAACAAATGAGGTCTTTAAGATGAACAAGAAAGTAAAAGTTATAGTGATGTGCTTGTGCGTCGAGCTGACAAGGGGTCAACTTGACACAATGTCAACTGGACACAAGCTAGAGTCCCTTTGTAGAGAGGATCTGAAATGAGAAAATGCCCCTACCAGACTGGCCTGTGGTACTTTTTCTTGACTGATGATTGATATGGGAGGGCCCAGTTCACTGACCATGAGGAGCTTAGTAAACAGCACTCCTCCACGGCTTCTGTTCCTGTTCCTTTCTCCAGGTTTCTGCCCTGAGTTCTTGTCCTGGCTTTCCTCAGTGATGGACCTACAAGGTGAAAAAACTCCTTCCTTCCCAACTTGCTTTTTTTTTTTTTGGTTTTTCGAGACAGGGTTTCTCTGTGTAGCTTTGCGCCTCTCCTGGAACTCACTTGGTAGCCCAGGCTGGCCTCGAACTCACAGAGATCCGCCTGGCTCTGCCTCCCGAGTGCTGGGATTAAAGGCGTGCGCCACCACCGCCCGGCCCAACTTGCTTTTGGTCACAGTTTTATCAGAGCAATGAAAACTCTAACTAAGACAACAGACAGCATTGAGAAAATGAAAAGATGCAGAATAGAGGAATTAAGAGAAAACTGAAATTTGAAAAGGTCTCTGGTGTCCAAAATACCTAGCAAATTTTCATGCTCTAACAGAAATACTTATAACCCAAATGGACAAAGGACTTAAATGGACTTTTTTTCACAGTTAAATAGTTAACAAGTACAAGCAAAGGTGCTTAATATCATTATTCATTAAGAAAATGCATATCAAAACAATGGGTATCATTTAACATCCATTAGAATGACTATGATCAAAAGAAAATATTCCAGATGCATTAGTGTGACTGTATAACTGGGCATATGTCATGGAAGACTTTGAGTGTTCATAACAAAACAAAACAAAACAACCCCAGAAATATCACAAGAAATAAAAGCCAATGTTTAAACTAATGTGTAAATACTCATAACAATATTATTAAAAATATCCATAGCCAAAAAGTAAAAAAGTAACCAAATTCTTAACAACCAATTAATAGATAAGCAAAATTTGGTATGTCCACAACACTAGTTATTCATTACAATGAATGAAACCCTAGTACATAGCTAAACCTTTAAAATATAGTATTTGAAAGCAGATTAATGGTAACCAGGGGCAATGGATGAGGTTTGAGAGTCACCTTAGCAAATTCTGCATGTTTTCTCTCATATATGGTTCCTAGCCTCAAGTTTTTTTGTTTTGTATCTTTAAACCAGAGTACATGTGGAAAGTAGGAAACTAAATATGTTCCACTGGTGAAGGATGCCTTCAGGACATGGGTGGAAGGGGAAATAGTAAAACACAAGTAAAATGAAAATAGAAAATGGAATATGGAGACAGAAAAGTTCAAGATTGGAGCTGGGTAGAGAATGGGGAAATGAGGTATTAGCAGGAGGCTTAACTAAATGAAGGGTACATGAAAAACCTTTATGGAGTGGGGAGGTGGTGGCACACACCTTTAATCCCAGCACTTGGGAAGAAGAGGATGGTGAATGTCTGAGTTCAATGCTACCCTGGTCTACAGAGTGAGTTCCAGGATGGAAGGGCTACACAGAGAAACCCTGTCTCAAAACAAAACAAAAACCCAAAACAAAACAACCCCCCCCAAACAAAAAACAACCCCTCTAAAAGTTGTGTAGAAACCTATAATCTTCCAATCCAAGGAGGAAGAAAAAAAAAAAAAAAACAACAACAACTGCAATTGGGGAAACAGTTGAACACAGGTGACAGAAAAGGACACGGGAGATACACTTGGGGTTAAAGTTTAATTAAGTGGAGATAGAGTGACTGGGGAAAGGAGATGGTGGGCAGGAGTGGATTAGCCCAAACTAGGATCTATGAAGAAGCCTTGTGGTGGTTTGAATGAGAGTGACCTCATAGACTCATATACTTGAATGCTTGGTTCCCAGTTGGTGGACTGTTTGAAAGACTGAGAGGTGTGGCCTTGTTGGAGGAGCTCTGTGACTAAGGGTGGGACAGGCCCTGTCTCTCATTCTCGGCCTCCATCTTATAGACGATGTAAGTTCTCAGCTACTACTCCAGGGCCATGACTGCCTGCCTGCCTACCTGCCACCATGCTATCCACCATGATGGCCATGGACTAACACTCTGAAACTGTAGGCAATCTCCCAATTAAATGTTTTCTTTTATAAGTTGCCTTGGTCACAATGCCTCTTCATAGTGATAGAACAGTAACTAAGACAAGCCTTTTGGAATCCACTGGCTTGCAAGCTGATTTTATATATATATATATAGTATATTTTAAAATATACTCAATTGTATATTTTAAAATGATTTAAACATTGTTTTGTTTTATACCAATAAATAAACTGGACTGAAAATCTTGCTTGAGTCATTAAATAATGCAGCACAGGGCTGATGGTGGCTTACCAAGTGAAACCAGGTTCTTCCAGTTTTCCAGCATTACCTTCCTGTACAGAGTTCTTTGTAAAGGATCCAGCAAAGCCCACTCCTCCTCTGTGAACTGCACAGTCACATCTTCGAAGGACACCAGCTCCTAAATCATTCATACATCACAGCTTAGCCAAGGACCCCATCAAAGACAATAAGAGAGCCCAAGATGGTAGACCCATAGATGAAAATCCAGAGCAAAAGATGTTAGGCACGTTGAATTCTATCTGCCTCGACTTTTAGGCTTTGTATCCTGGCTCTTCTCAGGTCTACTGTCCTACCTCCCAAAGTCCCTTTCTTTTTCCACTCAGACTTGAACTCCTGTAATCTCATCTCCTGAGGCTAAGCACAAGCCTGGCACAATCCACAAAGGGGAGAGACAACTGTTACATGAATGATTAATTTCCCCATGCTGTGATAAACTGTGAAAAAAAGACAGTCAAGTGTTGTATGAAAGGAGAGAAGGTTAGCACTCCCCTTGACAAGGATGGAAGAGGCCCTTGGGCCTAACAACACACATACGGTTAAGGCATTGCCACCTACTTCGTGGCATCTAACCACTGTTTTAAAAAATAGACGCCAGGAAATTATCAAAGTGAGAGCTGAAATCAATAAAATAGAAACAAAGAGAACAATACAAAAAATTAATGAAACAAAGAGTTGGTTCTTTGAGAAAATCAACAAGATAGACAAGCCCTTATCCAAACTAACCAAAAGACAGAGAGAGAGCATCCAAATCAACAAAATCAGAAATGAAAAGGGAGACATAACAACAGACATTGAGGAAATCCAGAGAATCATCAGGTCATACTTCAAAAACCTCTATTCGACAAAACTGGAAAACCTAAAAGAAATGGATAACTTTCTGGATAGGCACCACATACCTAAGTTAAATCAAGACCAGATAAACTATTTAAATAGCCCAATAACCCCTAACGAAATAGAAACAGTCATTAAAAGTCTCCCAACCAAAAAAAGCCCAGGACCAGATGGTTTCAGCGCAGAATTCTACCAGATCTTCAAAGAAGAGTTAATACCAATACTCTCTAAATTGTTCCACACAATAGAAACAGAAGGAACATTACCAAACTCCTTCTACGAGGCTACAATTACCCTAATTCCTAAACCAAACAAGGATACAACAAAGAAAGAGAACTACAGACCGATCTCCCTCATGAACATTGATGCAAAAATACTCAATAAAATACTGGCAAACAGACTCCAAGAACACATCAAAACAATTATCCACCATGATGAAGTAGGATTCATTCCAGGGATGCAAGGGTGGTTCAACATACGAAAGTCCGTCAATGTAATACACCATATAAACAAACTCAAAGAAAAAAACCATATGATCATCTCACTGGATGCAGAAAAGGCATTTGACAAAATCCAACACCCCTTCATGATAAAGGTATTGGAGCGATCAGGAATACAGGGAGCATACCTAAACATAATAAAGGCAATTTACAGCAAGCCAACAGCCAACATCAAATTAAATGGAGAGAAACTCAAAGCAATTCCACTAAAATCAGGAACGAGGCAAGGCTGTCCACTCTCCCCATACTTATTCAACATAGTACTTGAAGTTCTAGCCAGAGCAATAAGACAACATAAGGAGATTAAGGGGATACAAATTGGAAAGGAAGAAGTCAAGCTTTCCCTATTTGCAGATGACATGATAGTATACTTGAGCGACTCCAAAGATTCCACCAAGGAACTGATACAGCTTATAAACACCTTCAGCAACATAGCAGGATACAACATCAACTCAAAAAAATCAGTAGCCCTCCTATATACAATGGACAAAGAAGCGGAGAAGGAAATCAGAGATACATCACCCTTTACTATAGCCACAAATGACATAAAATACCTTGGGGTAACACTAACCAAGCAAGTGAAGGACCTATATGACAAGAACTTTAAGTCCCTGAAAAAAGAAATTGAAGAAGATGTCAGAAAATGGAAAGATCTCCCATGCTCATGGATAGGCAGGACTAACATAGTAAAAATGGCAATCTTACCAAAAGCAATCTACAGATTCAATGCAATCCCCATCAAAATACCAACACAATTCTTCACAGACCTGGAAAGAATAATACTCAACTTCATATGGAAAAACAAAAAACCCAGGATAGCCAAAGGAATCCTGTACAATAACACAACTTCTGGAGGCATCACGATCCCTGACTTCAAGCTCTACTATAGAGCTACAGTAATAAAAACAGCTTGGTACTGGCATAAAAACCGACATGTGGACCAATGGAATCGAATTGAAGACCCTGACATTAATCCGCACACCTATGAACATATAATTTTTGACAAAGAAGCCAAAAGTGCACAATGGAAAAAAGAAAGCATCTTCAACAAATGGTGCTGGCAAAACTGGATATCAACATGTAGAAGGCTGCAAATAGATCCATATCTATCACCGTGCACAAAACTTAAGTCCAAGTGGATCAAGGACCTCAACATAAATCCAGCTACTCTGAACCTGCTAGAAGAGAAAGTAGGAAGTAGTCTTGAACGCATTGGCATAGGAGACTACTTCCTAAATAGAACACCAGTAGCACAGACTCTGAGAGAAACAATCAATCAATGGGACCTCTTGAAACTGAGAAGCTTTTGTAGAGCAAAGGATACGGTCAACAAGGCAAAGCGACAGCCTACAGAATGGGAAAAGATCTTCACCAACCCCACATCTGACAGAGGACTGATATCCAGAATATATAAGGAATTCAAGAAATTAGACATCAAAATGCCCAACAGTCCAATTAAGAAATGGGCTATAGAACTAAACAGAACATTCTCAACAGAGGAAACTCAAATGGCCGAAAGACATTTAAGGAATTGCTCAACATCCCTAATCATCAGGGAAATGCAAATCAAAACAACTCTGAGATACCACCTTACGCCTGTCAGAATGGCTAAGATCAAAAACACTGAAGACACCTTATGCTGGAGAGGATGTGGAGCTAGGGGAACTCTCCTCCACTGCTGGTGGGAATGCAAGCTTGTACAACCACTTTGGAAATCAATATGGCGCTTTCTTAGAAAATTGGGAATCAATCTCCCCCAAGATCCAGCTATACCACTCTTGGGCATATACCCAAGAAATGCTCAACCACACCATAAGAGCACTTGTTCAGCTATGTTCATATCAGCATTGTTTGTAATAGCCAGAACATGGAAACAACCCAGATGCCCTTCAACTGAAGAATGGATAAACAAAATGTGGTACATATACACAATGGAATACTACTCAGCAGAGAAAAACAATGGCATCATGAGGTTTGCAGACAAATGGATGGATCTAGAAAAAATCATCCTGAGTGAGGTAACCCAGACTCAGAAAGACAAACATGGTATGCACTCACTCATAGCAGGATACTAGACATGAAACAAGGATGACTTGTCTGCTACTCACATCACCAGGGAGGCTACCTGGAAAACAGGACCCCAAGAAAGACACAGGGATCGCCCAATGACAGAGAAATGGAATGAGATCTACATGAACAGCCTGGACATGAGTGGGGGTAATGAAAGGTGAGGGTTGAGGGAAAGAGAGCTTGGGGGAGCGGGAGATCCCAGCTGGATCAACAACAGAGAGGGAGAACAAGGAATAGGAGACCATGGTAAATGAAGACCACATGAGAATAGGAAGAAGCAAAGTGCTAGAGAGGCCCACAGAAATCCACAAAGATACCCCCACAACAGACTGCTGGCAATGGTCGAGAGACAGCCCGAACTGACCTACTCTGGTGATGGGATGGCCAAACACCCTAATTGTTGTGCTAGAAACCTCATCCAACTACTGAGGGATCTGGATGCAGAGATCCATGACTAGGCCCCGGGTGGATCTCTGGGAGTCCAATTAGCGAGAATGAGGAGGGTTTATATGAGCGAGAATTGTTGAGACCAAGGTTGGATAAAGCACAGGGACAAATAGCCAAATGAATGGAAACACATGAACTATGAACCAAGGGCTGAGGGGTCCCCACTGGATCAGGCCCTCCGAATGGGTGAGACAGTTGATTGGCTTGATCTGTTTGGGAGGCATCCAGGCAGTGGGACCAGATCTTGTGCTCATTGCATGAGTTGGCTGTTTGAAACCTGGGGCCTATGCAGGATTGTTTGGTTCGGCCTGGGAGGAGGGGACTAGACCTACCTGGACTGAGTCTACCAGGTTGACCTCAGTCTGTGGGGAAGGCTTTGCCCTGGAGGAGATGGGAATGGGGGGGGGGGGGTTGGGGGGAAGGTGAGGGGGACGGGAGGGGGGAGAACAAGGGAATCCGTGGCTGATATGTAGAACTGAATTGTATTGCAAAATAAATTAAAATAAATAAATAAATAAATAAATAAAAAATTAAAAAAAAAAAAAGACAGTCAAACTTTTAGTTGACCTCACCACAAGCTCTTAGGAAGTGTATGGCATCCTTAGAGCCTCTGGAAGGAGCTTAGAGAATACAGTGAATATTGATGCAAAAGACATTTTCTGGGATGTCTCTGAGCCCTTGCCAGATGCCTGGGGATCCTGCTTGGAGTGTATAAGTCTTTATAGTAACAAGTTTTATGCAAGGAATGACTTGGAAAAAATGAAGACCTGACTCACCTGTATCAAGTTTGTCAAGAATTCATTGGCCAGCCCTTCTTTCTCTGTGTGTCCTTTCTCGGGAGAGAGTGGGTACAGGGAAGACTGAACTGGGGAAGAAGAAATAAATCATGAGAATCTAGGACATCCTAGGATGCTCTGAGGTTTACTTATCCACCCGAGACTGACAATATACCACCACCCACACTTACAGCATGCATATTCACATGCACACACATAGCACCTTCTTCTACCCCTGCACAGATACTTAGTCACAGCTTTCATAAACACGGCATAACCTTGTCTCAACTTAGCTAAGATACAGAGTACCTGGGTCTGACTGCCTATGAGGAAGAGAACATTTATTCCAGGAACAATTAAAGGTATAATTCAAAAGAGACCATATAATCATCATGAAGACAACAGTTCCAATACCTAGCAGCTACATTGTGTTCTAAGAGCTATCTATCATATCTAAGGACTACTGGGCTTCACTCCTTTCCTGCTAGGCCTGAGCCTCCTCAATGGCTACCCATCCTCTACCACTTTCTGAACACGGGGACCATTGAATCTTACTCTAAAGGCTGCTAGGACCCAATGACCTACCATGTATCAGAGGAATGACAGCTGCTGCCATCCCGACTCCAACACTAGAGTTCCTGAACACAATGCAGTGATGGATCAGATATACTTCTGCCTCCCACAGACACCAAGGGCAGCACTCTGGCATCAACAGAAGATAGGAAGTCTCCACAGCCACTCTCCTTCCCAGGGGTGTTGAAGACGAGCCCTTTTCAGCTCTTCCACCTTAGCCTTCTTTCAACACGCACATCCCACACTGGACCTTTATCCTGCATGGCAGGTTGTCTGTCCAGGGAAGAAAAAAGGTCTGTTTTCCCTCTGCTTTCACATCACCAGCAATAAGAATTCTCCCCACTTCAAGCAACACAGAAATTCTGAAGTCTTCACCAGCTGGACATCTACTAATTCAATCTACTTCTGGCACAATCTGCTTGAATACACTATCAGGCTTGAATATTCACAGGCTGCAGGATCAGTTCCCAGAGTGCCCCTATACCCCAAATTTAGACGCCAGCTGTCAGCCCTAAGTGGGCTTCCCTATGTTCTTCACCTAGTGGCTGAAAACTGGGGCTCCCATGATCCCTTTCTTAGGTTTGATTAATTTGCTTAATAGGTCCACACAACTTCGGGAACAATTTCTTTATTGGTGGAGTGCAGCCATTTCTGTCTTAGCTTGTTAAAACTCACAAATTTCTAAGGAGGCTTATTAAGATTCTGGAAATTCTAAAGGAAGGCTCCTTAAAACATGAAAAGTAAACAACTCAGGAGACCCTGATCCATATAACTGATCGGATTCACAAGGCCCCTGTCTCCTCAAAGTAATATAAGCAGTAAGGACTGCTGAGGAGACAGAGACCAGCCTAGCTGCCTGAAGAGGGTCAGACCGGCTAAGCTGCCTGGATGAGATATTCTCTGACCTGTGGAACTGCTGAGGAAACAAGGAAAAGCTTTTTCACACACAGTTGGGCATAGCTCTTATGAAATTAATCTGGTCAACATTAGACGAAGAAGCATAAACTTTCAGTATTTATCCTTTCAATCCCATTTCTAAGAATTAGCTCAATGATATTCAAATACCAAAAGACTAGGGTAAGATCACTGACTGTACTTATAATAGCAAATAATTAAGATAATCACAAACGGTCCTGGGGAGATAGCTTAGCAGGTAAAGGCACTTGCTGTCAAGTCTCACAACTCTTCTTGATCCAAGGGACCCACATGGTAGAAGATGAGAACTAGCAAGCTGTCCTCATTTTTTTTTTTCTTTTTTTTTTTTTTGGTTTTTTGAGACAGGGTTTCTCTGTGTAGCTTCGTGCGTTTCCTGGAACTCGTTTTGCAGACCAGGCTGGCCTCGAACTCACAGAGATCCACCTGGCTCTGCCTCCCGAGTGCTGGGATTAAAGGCGTGCGCCACAACCGCCCGGCGCAAACTGTCCTCTTACCATACTCTATGGCATATAATATCCACACACAAAAATAAATGTAATAAGATAAACACAGCGCACATAGTAGGAGAGACCCAACTTTTGCAAGTCGTCCTCTTACTTCCACAGTAGCACATGTAAAAATAAATAAAAGGCTAATAAAAATTTAAAAGAAATAAATACAAATGATCATCAAATAGGAAGGATTAAATAACACTGTAGGCAACCTACATAATAACACAAAGTGAGAAAAAAAGTATAAAAACAAACCTGAAAACATCTGTAGGTACTGACACAAATGATCTTCAATTTAAGTGTTAAAAATAAATCAAGATATCAAGAAAGTGGTATGTGTATACATGATGTTTCTTTTTTAGAGGAAGGGGAGGTCTCCTTTCTCTGAAATTCACACCATAAAGCAGCTTCTTGGGGTTTAGTTGATTACTAATGCATCTCAAGGAAAGCAGTGTAGAGTATATGGGACAGGGATAGAGTAAAAACACTTAAGGAGTTTGAACAATGTGACAAAGTGGATTTACAGGGATTCTTTGGCTCCTAGGGCTCTTTGGAAGACAGATTTATAACTCTTCTCATTCCCAATGTGCCTCAGCTCTAATTTACAGCACCTACTTTGCAGAAAGAATTCTGATGCTGTAAGTAAGGTGGAAACACTGAATCAGGCTCTGCTGTCTCCTTAGACTCAGTCCTCAATATTCTCATCTTTACCATCTTTTCTGTTAGCATGTACATTCCACAGAGATAGGACAAAGTCTGTTTTGGGCCTCATGCGTCAGGCCCAAGGCCCAGCTCATCAAAGTGACCAACTGTCCTAGATTGTCTAGGACTGTTCTGAGTCTTCAGGGTCCTCTGTTTTGAAAACTCTTCAGCCTTGAATAAAATGAAGGTCGTGATCATCCTAACTTGTGCAATAATGAGTATCAATTACACAATAACCAAATATTCCCTTAATATGATTATAGGAATGCTAAAATAAAAATTGGCAGGAGTAGGGATGTGGCTCAGTGGTAGAACACTTGCCTAACTTGTCCAAGACAAGCGTTTGATCCCTAGCCCTGAACAAAAGAAATCAAACACATATAGCTAATAAATATCTTCCATATTATAAAAGATCATACAGTTGTTTCAGAAATGTTAAATTTCTATTAGGAGGCAAGGTAGGAAGGAAGGACAGCCTTGTACCTTACTCTTTAATCTGAAAGTTGTTCTCTGATATTCTTCCAAATGTTTTCAGTTCTTATCAACATTTAGTAGCTAGTCTATTCAATTTTAGATTTCTATTACTAACATAAAGAATCGCAGAACTTCTTTTTCATAATGCCCCTTTATTTTGAAACTTCATGAGGATGTACAGGTGTTTAGAAGTCATATGGAATGACTTCTGAAGAATGCCACTGAGTAGTTCTAGCATTTACAGGAAAGACTTGTAAGTGCTAAAAAGACATTCAAAATCCTGAAAATTTCAGTGTTGTGGTACACAAGAAAATTCTACATTTATGTGCTTATTCATATTCATGGTTAATTATGCTTATTTCATATAATTTGCATGTAACTACATTTACTTATTACACACCTTAGTATGCATCCCTTGAATATAAACCCATCAAACATTGATTCAGCTTCTTCAGATAACCCTCACTCTTAAGTGGTTGCATCCTTAGAGTTACAACCTGTTACAAGCAAAAGAAAAGCCCTATAGAAGTTCCATACTGCAGGGTCGGCTGGAACTCCATTGCTTCACATTCCACATCATATACATCTGGTTACATGAAATTCATTGATTAATGAAGGCAGGTGTTCACTGAGGCGTTTTCAACCCCACACTGAGGTTTCAACACAAATCTGTTTGAATGATTTTTTTAACTGAAAAAAGAAAAAAGGCATAAAAATCGTTGCTGAGGCCTTTTACAGAAAGCACGAGTTATGATAGGAAAAAAAACCCCCAAAACTCTATACCCGCCCTCCACCTGTGTTTACGAATTTAACATTTAATAGGAGCCCAGCCTATGGCAGGGAAGATGGAATTACCTGATCTCTATGCAGGCACAAGCTCAAAAGGGCAGGCAGAAGATGAAATGATGTGTCTATTTAATTGCGCAACTTATTTGACTGGAGAGCGATCTTCCAGTGACTCCATGGACGGTAAACATGCCTTGTCGCTTAGAGGGCCTAAAAGTGACAGGACTGAACTTCACAGAGCTGAAGGATTTCCACCCCCAGCACTACTGCTAATATGCACTGCTTGCGCCTTGCTGGACAGGACCCAAAATAGCGTCCTGGGCCTCCACCCGCCCGCTAACATTAGCTCTGTCCGCCCCGCCTCACTCTGGGAGAACAAAAAGCATCTCCAGAGCTGTGAAGTGCAAGAGCTCGGGATTTATCTCTGGGCGACGGAAGGGGCCTGAGGCCTCCGGGAGGAAGCAGGAGTCCGGGGACTCCCTGCCGAGGACGCTGGCGGTCAGAGCTCCTTCTCAATACGACCGAAGCCCATTGTGCACACACTGCATCGCCCCTCCCAGCGGCCCAAGGCGCCCACCGGGAGGAAAAACTACACCAGCTCCCTGGAGCCCGCTTCCTCCTTCAGTTCCGCCCTGCGCTTCCACTTCCGGCCCTTCTCAGTTCACTTCCGCCCAAAAGTTAGTCGGGGTTTCAGGGCGGGGTTAGGAGGCGGATTTGGCATCCGTGGACCCCTGTAGATTGTAACTGTTCTTTCTAGTTTGCTTATTGACTCTGTACACAACTGGACTTCGGGATAGACCAGCCAAGGAGAGCAGGGGCGGTTCCGGCGTCGGGGGACTGTTGGAGGAACAGAACCTGGGCACGGGAAGAGCTAAGCTTGGCCGGCGGGTTAGATGATAACGGGATGGGGGTGGGAGGATAGTCGGAGGGAGTGGCTGCGGTGGGGATTAGTTCCGGGAGCAGGATGATAGGCACAGACAAAGCCTGGAGGGAGTGAACTGACTGTGGGTGGAGATTAGTTTTAGGGGTGGCCAATGGTAGTGTAGGGTGTGAGATAGGCTTGCTGTGTCCCAAGGAACAGGGAATGGAATTGCAGGGATGGGAATATGGACGGGCATTGGTAGTGTGGGGTGTGTGAGTCCTGTGGTCCTAGGGAATGTAAGATCATCCCCAGGGGTGCTACTGCAGGTGACCCGCCTTGGACCATGTAACAACACGGTCCGTGAATGAAGCCGTGTAAGGAGAATTCTGATTGCTTGTGAAAAAACTCCAAGAGAACAGGACAAGAGTCCTTTGACCTCAGCCCTCCAAGTACAAAATTGTTCTCGAAATGTGCTTTCATGCCCCTCCCAGATTTAATAAATAGGAGTGGGTTTACTTCAGATTATTTTACTATTCAGATGATGTTTCCAAGCTCGGGTTGTCCTCATGACTGTATGCAGCAGTGGTTCTTAACCGGGGGTTTGAAGGACCCTTTCACATGGATTGCCTAAAACCATTGGAAGACACAGATATTTACAGTACGATTCATAACAGTAGCGAAATTACATGAAGTAGCAAGGAAAATGATTTTATGATTGGGGGTCACTACAACGTGAGGAACTGTATTAAAGGATTGCATTAGGAAGGTTGAGAACTACTGGTATACAGCCTAAATGCATGTGAACATGCTTTGTCCTTGTGACTGTATAAAGCTTGAATTCATATGAACTTTGCTCATATGATCCTGCTTAACCCTCAGAATACCCTATAAATTGTTTGATGCCCTGAATAAAGTTGGCTATTGCATGAGACTTCAGTCTGCCTCATTTTTAGGCTCCATCCTCCCAGCCTCATACGGCCACCAAGAGTGGTAACAGATCACTCAACAGTAACCTTTCTTCAGTCTATTCTCCATGATTATACAGCCTACTAGAAGTACATTGTACACATTTCTCTGCAATTTGCTTCTTGAAGGCCAACATTATTTATATTAATTTTTTGACAATTTTACACATATCTATATAATGAATTGTGGTAAAATAATTGCAGGTATGAGCAGAAAACTTCAGCATGAACACTGGGTAGGGATAACAAAAATTATTCACCGTATGACTCTAATTGCTGGGGCTTTCTGGGATGAAGGAGAAGGGTTATTGTATTTAGAGCAAGTGATTGTTGTAGTTCTAATGTTTTGAAGAAATCCCATGGTGACTACACTATTTTCCATTCTCAGAAACAGTGTATAAAATTTTCTTTACTCTGTATCCTTAACAATATGTATTTTTTTCTTTTCTTGATGAAAGACATACTAACTCCTGCTATACTATTGGGTATTTACTATAAAGAATCAGTCAGTGTTCTAGTTTGCTTTCAACTGCTGTGATAGAACATTCTGACAAGAAAGCCACTCGAGGAAGAAAGGATTTATTTAGCTTACACATCCTGATCTCAGTCCATCACTGAGAGAAGTCTGGGCAGGAATAAAACAGGAGATATGGAGGAACACTGTCTTTGTCCCTTAGGTAGCTCACACTTTCATACAACCTAAGAGTTCCTGTCCAGGGTGGCACTGCCCACAGTGGTATGGGTTCTCCCACGTCAATCACAAGTATTAAAGTGCCCCACAGCCTTGTCTCCATGCCAATCTGATGGAGACATTTTCTCAGGTGAGGTTTTATCTTCACAGATGGCTCTAGCTTGTGCCAATTTGACAAAAACTACACAAGCTTGCTACATATTATATACCTACATACTCATGTTTGTTACCTCATTCTTCACAGTAGCTATGGTACAACCAGCCTGTGTACCCATTAGCAGAGGAATGGATAAAATGTGGTAAATAGATACAGTGGGACTCTATCCAGCCATAAAGAATATGTCATTTGCAGAAAAGAATGGACAAGGGTCACTATACTAAATAATCATAGTGAATGAAATGAAATAAACTAGTCTCCAAAGAAAAATATTACATGTTTTCTGTCATACATGGAATCTGGGGGAAAAATATAGTAGGGAATATCATAAACCCACTCCTTTGTGCAATTAACATGTTAATTTAAAAGAACATTTTATTTATTGTGTGTGTCTGCATGCAGACATCAAAGGACATTCCTCAGGAGTCAGTTCTCTCCTTCTACCATATGGGTCCTAGGCATAGAATTTATGTTGTCAGGCTTGGAATCAAGCACCCTGACCCACTGAGCTATCTTTCAGGCCCAATATATACTAATTTGATAATATAGGCTTTTTATGCAAGACACAAATCCTAGGCTGTGTTGGGAGTCATTGCCTTAACCTTGTTGCATACAGATGTTTGACATTCTGTGTTCCCTTGGCTGAAGTGGATTTATCTTGAATTTAATCTATTCTCAGGAATGAAAACAAGGACCACAATGTTGAGTGTGAGCAGCAGGGCTGACTGGAGCCAGGATGTCAACTTCAGTTCCCAGGCACAGATGGAGTTCTGTTCCTGGTTCCATGTCTGCTGCAATCATCTGTGTGCTGTGGGATGTTCTGCAAGTGACCAGCAGCTCTCAGTGGACACTATGCAGGGCCCAGAGTGGGCAATGAGTCGCCAGCACTCTCAGCCTGTAGAGTGTAAAATTATGTGTGGCTGGAATAGGAACCAGCCTTAAAAAGCAAAGGAATTCTGACATATAGTACAACATGATTGAAAATATTTGTTGATCAAGGTATGCCAGTCATAACAGATAAATGCTCTCTGTTTCTACATACAGCTATCCCTAGTGTAGTCAAATTTATAGAAGTAGAAAATAGAACAGTAGATGCCCTGGCCTGGGAAGAGGGATAAAGAGTTAGTGGGTAGCAGGAAAAGAATTTCTGTTTCCGAAGTGACAGTTCTTGAGATGAACGGTGGCGATGGCTGCACAACAGTATGAAGGTCATCAATACCACCGGGCCAGGCACTGAAGAATGGGTCAGAAGGTCTGTTTTATGCTTTGTATATGATACTTTTTAAAGCAAAAGATTATGATCGGTAGCTACCCTGAGATTGTTTTCTTTCTCTGTTCATCTGAATGTCCTTCCTCTTCCTCTACCTCTTCCTTCTTTACCTGCTCCTCTTCCTCCTCAGTCTCCATCTTCTTTCCTCCCTTTCCGTTTACATTTCGGTTTTCATTTCTTCCTCTGTTATTTATTTCTCAATGACTGTCTATTCTCTCTTTGTCTCTCTTTCTTCCCTTGGCATTTGTTTCTCTCATCTGTTTTCTATCTCACACCTCCCCCCCCCCAATTATACTGCCATATTATTTCCTTTCTGTTAGAAAATCCCAGTTTCTGTCCTTGTTTCTGTACCCTGTATCCTTTGTGCCACCAGAGAGAGAATTATCTTCAAAGCTGGTGGGCCATATAAGCTATAGGAATTAAGGCAAGGACTAGGATTTCATGACAGAGAATACATCAAGACATCACATTCCACTTCACAAATATATTTAATTCTCAAAAATTTAAAAAGACATAAAAATGATAAAATTTATCAACAACCTGAAGCATTATATAGACACAAAAGTTATTATATACTATGCCCCCAAATTAATATTTTTATGTAAGTTAAATTTGTTTTTAGTTAATATAACAAGTTTTATATTATTTATAGAATAATTTATTAGTTACATTTGCATAACTAGGATTAAAATATCATAGAAATGATTTAAGGCAGGGAAAGTTTACTTAGCTACAGTTTCACAATGTTACCATCTATCCTGGTAGGATTCTTGGCTTTGGGATTGGGAGACAGCAGTTGTATGCATGTGGGCAGACTAGGAAGCAGAGACAGGTGATCTGGAACCAGAGGTGGTTACAATGTTCACATTGCCTATTCCTAGTGATTTCCTTCTGCTATCAAGGACCCTCTTGCTAAAGGCTCTATGCCTTCCAAATACTGCCATAAGCTGGGGACTGAGAATTCAAAACATAAGCCTGTGGGGGACAGTTCGGATTCAAGCCATAGCAGGAACCATGTGACCCTTGATGTTTTGATATGTGTGTGCATTGTAAAATGTTGAAATCTGGTTAAATATACTAATCTTAAAGACATTATTTGTTTATCCTGAAAATATAAAGACCTATCAAATTTTTTATTCATAGCCATTATTGTTTCTATAGTTATTTACATTTTTTTAAAAAAATACATTCTAGAAATTGTTTGTTAGTAGCACATATCAATGTATGAATTGTATCAGAAGTAATGCTGTGTATTCATGATATTTATAATTATGCTACATGTGATAATTCATTTGAGAGGCTGAGGCTGAGACAGGAGGATTGTGAGTTTCAGGCCAGCCTGGGCTATACAGCAATTTGAAGGCTAACAAGGATTATGTGGAGCCAGAACCTGTCTCCAAAAAAAAAAAAAAAAAAAAAAAAAAATGCTCCCTACCTAGAGATTGTGTGAAAAGTTCCTTTTGGATCTAATAACAAAGGGTCATTGTGACTTTTTCAAGGGAAGGAGCCACAGAATGATGACAACATACAAAGGTTCCAAATAGTCTGAGGAGCTGCTTGGAGGTAAGATGCTCCAGAAAAACATCATATAGATGTCCCTTTTTGAGCAGTTTGTGCTAAGAGGAAGGGGCAGAAAAGGTTAGGCAAGGAGTTTCTATGTAGTTCAGAGAAACGTAAACATGGCTTTATGCCGAAGGAAGGGTTCCCTAGAAAAAGAGTTGTTGAAGATTGAGGGACTTCTTAGTGGGCATGAGGTTACAAAATAGGAAGAGGGGGAAAATCTCAGATTGGGAGATAAAGGAAATATCACATAATTGGAAGAAATTTACAAAGAGTCTAACATATGTCTAAGTATGTCAACTAGACCCCTAAAACTTCAGGCTAGTTTACAGTTTCTCCATGAAGTACTGGGAAAGTTTTAAGGGAACATGAGTGTGTCAGAGTATGAGCATTTTACTCCTCTGCTTTTGGCTGTGGATGTAAATATCTGCCTTGACTTCCTTGCAGTGATGGACTATAATATAATGGAATTATAAGCCATTCATTGTTTTTGCCAGAGTATTTTATCACAGCAACAAAAAGTGGAACTAAAAGTGGAAATGACAAAAAATAAAAATAAAGTATCAGGTTTAAGGGAAATTCAGTGACTGATAGACTAACACATAAAAGGAGAGATCAATGCCCAGGCTTTAGGACTTCCCCCATGTTAGTGTTAAATATTTTGTATTTATAGTTGCACCAAAATAGTATGTTGTGTTTTTTCTTCCCACAGGTATCATAAGGCTGGCAGTCTTCCAAACTTGAAGTTTTACAAGGCAGGTAAGGTAAATGGAAAAGAATTTTTCAGTAATACCAATGGAATTATTGAGCTCATAGACTGTGGAATTGAGTACTAATGTGGGATCAGGAGGAAGGAGCTTGGATAATGGGTACCAAAGTTACACTGAAAGAATCAGTTCTTATATTCTATAACAGCATGTGACTGTAGTTCACAATATTTCATACATATTATAAAGAACTAGGAAAGATAAATTTGAAGCTTCCCAACACAAGGAAATGGTAAATGCTAAGATGGTTAAAATGCTAATTATCTTGATTTAATCATAATACCGTGTGTGTGTGTGTGTGTGTGTGTGTGTGTGTGTGTGTGTGTGTGTGTGTGTGTGTGTATCACATGATCATACTCTTCTGTAAATGCTTGTACTTGTATGTTAACCTAAAAGAAGAACAATTTCCACAGAAGTCAAATTGTAGAATCTGCCCAGATGCCCATCATCTTATGAATGGATGAAGAAAATGTAGCATATATAGACAAAAGAAATTTTTATTTTTGAGACAGGCTTTTATGTAGCCCAGACTGGTCTCAAACTCATTTTGTAGCTGAGGATGCCTTTAAATTTTTTAATCTTCCTTCCTCCATATCCCACGTGCTATCATTACCAACCTACATCACCACACTCAGTTTTATGGAGATCAAACATCGGGTCTTGTGCATGCTAGGCAAGCATTCTATCAACTGAGCTCTAGAGTCAGTCAGTGGACTGTTACTGAACCATAAAGTAGAATGAAATTCTGCCATTTTCAGGACAGTGGATAGAACTAGAGACCATCATATTGAGTGAAAGAAGTCAGACTTGGAAAGATAAATACCAGACTGGGGAGATGGCTCAGTGGATCAAACACTTCTATGCAATTATGAAGATTGGAGTTTGAATCCCAAGAACCTACATTAAAGCCAGCCAATATTTAGGAATATATGTATATATGGGTAGCACGTAACAACAATTAATGAAAAAAAGGGGTCATGTCTGATAATATTTTGTTTGTATTCATTAATAATAAACAATAAAAAGTAAAATTTGCCTGAAGGTCAGAAGACAAAGCCAGCCACTAGATTAAACATAGAGTCCAGGCAGTGGTGGCACACACCTTTAATCTTAGCACTCAGAAGGCAGAGATCTATCTGTATCTCTGTAAGTTCAAAAGAGAAACAGGACCAGGCAATGGTGGCACACACCTTTAATCCCAGTACTTGGGAGTCATATGCCTTTAATCCTAGTATTAGGAAGGTTGAGACAGGAAGTGATATGGCTGGGCAGAGAAAGGAATGTAAGGCAAGAGGAGACTAGAGTTTGGCATTCAGTCTGAGAATTTGTGGAGATAGGCTCTCGCCTCCCTTTCGGCCCCAGGATTTGGTGGTGATGAGAAGTTTCTCTAGTGGCTTGTTACTTTGTTCCTCTGGTCTTTCAGCATTTACCCCAGTATCTGGCTCTGGGTTTTTATTATAAGACCAATTAGGATTTGTGCAACAGTCATGAATTTAAAAGAGCGAAAGGAGGGGCAAAAGGGGGCTTAGTGGGAGGAAAGGGAAGAGAGAAATAGTGTAATATAATCTCAAAAATAAAATACGTTGAAAAACAAATACAAAACAAGCAAGCAAGTGTGGTGGCCACATGTAATCCCAGTACCAAGGAGGCAGAAATAATGGATCTCAGGGGCAAGCTGGCTATCTAGACCACCCAGAATTGGTGAACTCTAGGTTCAATGAGAGACCCTGCCTCAATGAATAAAGTAGAAGTCTATTGAAGATGGTCTCTGGCATCAACTTCAGGCCTCCACAGGCGCACATGCATATGTGCACACATATGCAAAGACATAAGCACATGCACATTCTACACATACACACCCGAAAGAAAAGACAAATACCATATTTCCTCTCGTGTGAAAACTCTGTATTTAAAGCAGTTTTAACGTTTGTGGTTTTTTTTTGTTTTGTTTTTTTTTTTGAGTGTAGGGGGTGTATAGATATGTTTGCCATGACAAGCATGTGGAGGTCAGAGGACAGCTCGTGGGAGGCCATGCTCAGATTATCAGGTTCAGCAGCAGGGGCCCTTACCTTCAGAGCCACTTCAACATGGGAAGTGTGTTTTAAATAAAAAAGAATATAACATGAAAAAGGAAAACATGAGACATGTAGAAGGGAAATGGGGAAAGGAGGAGGGAGAGGAGGCACAATAAAGAACAATTAGTTGTGACTGATCAAAGTACGTATTTGTGAATATGGAAATGCCACGGTGAAGCCCCTTTGTGTAATACCTATTAATAAACATTAGTAAATGAAAAAGGGAGGCAAGTATTCTAGAGTAAACTTTTGTTCTTGAGAAATATTCATGTGCCATGTACTGTGACATAAAATCTAGCAAAAAACACTAGAAATCAAAATCTGGTGGTGAGCGAATACATTTCCTTCCTTCCTTCCTTCCTTCCTTCCTTCCTTCCTTCCTTCCTTCCTTCCTTTCTTCCTTCCTTCCTTCCTTTCTTCCTTCCTCCTTCCCTCCCTTCTTTCCTCCCTTCCTCCTTCCCTCCCTCCCTCCACCCTTGCTTGCTTCCCTCCCTCCTTCCCTACTTCCTACCTCCCTTCCTTCCTTTCTTCCTTTCTCATTCCCTCCCTCCCTCTCCTTCCCTTCCTTCCTTCTTTCCTCTTTTCCTTCTTTCCTTCTTCCATCCCTCTTTCTTTTCTTTCTGCTCTGCTGTGAATAGGTTTTCTAAACTATTTTGAACATGACCTTTTGGGTTGATTAATATGTCTCAGGTCTTGTGGTGATTTTTCAAGAATGATATTGTTGGTAGTTTTGCTATTAATTTTTTAAAATACATATTTATTCTTTGAAAGTTTCATACATGTATGAAATGTATTGATCATATCATCTTTTATTTCACGCCCCCCCCAGCTTCACCCAATACCCTCACCACTTCTCCCTTCCAACTCCATGCCCTTCTTTTTAAATCTACTGAAAGTTATTAGTGCTTCCAGTATGTGCATGGATGTAGGGCCATCCACTGAAGCAACCCATCAGAGGCCACATCCCTGAAGAAAACTTACTGTTCCTCCCTCAGCAGCCATCAACTGCCATGAGCTTCTCCCACATCTGTGCTGGAATGTTTGCTGACCTGATCTTGTACAGGTTTTGTGCGAGTAATTAGAGTTATTGTGAGTTCCTGATTGCAATGGCCCTGTTGTGTTCAGAAAATGCTGTTTCTGTAGCTCTTTCCCAACCTCTGGCTCTTACAATCTAATTTCACTGTTGATTTAAATGTTAAAGGAGCTATGAAAATCAAGTGGTTCATAACATATTCATTGTCAAATAACATAGAAGAATGGCAAAATTAGAGACTTGGAGGAAGACAGGACTGTGTATCATGACAGGGGATCTGAGGTCTCAAGCTCTTGGCAGTGGATCCAGAGAGAATAAAAATACACTCAAGCAGGGACAGAGTTTTGCCAAATGGTTGGAGAATTTTGACTTAGAGCTTTCTGCGCTCAGCTTAGATCTGCTTAATGATGTCCCTGAATACAGGTCAAATCTATCACCAGAGGGATAGAGGGAAGGTAGAAAGTAAAAGCAGCATTGTTAATTGGTATCACATGGATAATACAAGAAGGCAGCCTTCATCACATTATTCCAATTTTATCTTTTATGCTAATAGGATTAAGAAAGGAGTCAGATGGGCAAGACTTCACAGAGGAAGCAATGTGACTGTGAGAACCTATCAAAGCCAAAGCCTTGTTTAAACACCTCAATCCCCTTGAGAATGTCTAGTTATACATTCAAGAGGCCAGTCACTAGAATCACATCCCATCCTGGCAATGAGGTAAGATATCATCATTGGGAGGAGAGCCTGGACAAGCCCCAACAAGCCTGCTGGCAGAAGAGACTGCAAGGACTCCAGGCCTACAGCAGTGCAGGAGAACTTTTGACCACTTCAGATCTAGCCAAAGCTTTGCAAGACCTTACACCCAGAGGCACAGATGTATCTGTTACAGAGACTCAAGCCAACAGCATTGGCTCTAGGCCCATGACCACCCATGAGTCATCTTTACATTTGGCAGAGATGATTCCAGAAACAAGTATCCCACAGATCCTTTGCAATCAAATTCTCGTCACCGAAGAAGATATTAGCAAGCAGGAAAAGAAAGTGAAAATAGCAAGAGAAAGACTGGCAGTTGCATTGATTGAACACAGGCTAGCAAATGAGGCAGAGAAAGTGAGGGGGTCAAGGAGGGCAAACTTATAAACAGGGAAGGGAAGCTGGGGAGAAGATACTGCAGATGAAATGCAGAATTGTTTTAACACTTCTCTGCGGTGTCTTTTGTTGTTTTTTTTGAGACCTTGAAACTTTAAACTTGACAATCTTTATTAAAATTCTTCATGCAATGCAAAAAAATAAATACAAATGATAATTTCTTTCTTTCTCTTACTCTACCCACCTCTTTCTCTATGTTGAAGATCAAACTGAACTTCCCACTCATACCAGGTAAATGCTCTACCATAGAACCATATCATCCTGCCAGTAATTTTTATTTTTTAAAATTATTTTAGGGGCTGGAGAGATGACTCTGTGATTAGGAGCACTTGCTGCTTTCCAGAGGACCCAAGTTTAATTCCCAGTATCTACATAGCAGTTTACAACAAGGGGATTGAATACTGTCTTCTGGTCCCCAAAGACACTAGGTACATACACATGATACATAGGCATACATGGAGGCATAAACATAACAAATTACTTTTAATTATGTGTGTCTGTGTATTGCTATGTGCACATGAGAACAGGGCATGAAGAGGCTGTAAGAGGGCATTGTATTCCCTGGAGTTGTAGTTATAGGCAGTTGGGAGCCATCATATGCTGGTATTGGGAACCAAACTTGGACCCTCTGGGAGAGTGCTCTCAAGTATTGAACCATCTTTTAGCCCCAGTAAATTATTTTAGAGATGAGAAATTGAGTTTGAGATGAGAAAAGATTTTTTCTTTTGCTTTTTATAGTCCTATATTCATTCACTGTTTTATTTTGTTTTTGTATATGAGTGTTTTACCTGCATGTATGTCTATGAACAGTGTGTGGGGTTGGTGGCCGTGGAAGCCAAAGAGGGTATTAGATCTCCTGGAACTGGAGTTATAGACAGTTGGAAGTTGTCATTCAGGTTTTGGGAACCAAACCCAGGTCCTCTGGAAGAGCACCAAGTACTTCTTAAATTCCAACCCATCATTTTCCAGTTACTTCACATTCTTTTTTTTTTTTTTTTTTTTTTTGGTTTTTCGAGACAGGGTTTCTCTGTGTCATTTTGGTGCCTGTCCTGAATTTACCTCACATTCTTATATTTTACCTACAATGTTTTAAAAACTATTGTGGCTTCTGATAGTCTTAGAAGGCACAATCTCACAGCAAACTCCCTGTTTTCATTTTGTTTTGTTTTGTTTGTTTGTTTGTTTCGGCTTTATAATCTTTCTGCCCCTTCTTAGCAATGATCCCTAACCCTTAATTTCAGGAGTTGTGTTGTATGTGTATCCCTTGGGACTGGACTCCACAACTCTCTGTCTTGATTGGTTGTGGTTTTCTGTAATGGTGTCTGACTGTTGTAAAAAGAGGTTTCCTTGATGCAGGTGAGGATGATACTTACCTGTGTAAAGATATATAATACAGTGTTTTGATATGCATATATAATAAAATGATTTTTACAGATTAACAGCTATCATGTGTAACTTTTCTAATCACTAGTGAAATATTTGTCAAAAGCAATTTAGGGTAGCCAAATGAATGGAAACACATGAACTATGAACCAATGGCTGAGGGGTCTCCACTGGATCAGGCCCTCCGAATGGGTGAGACAGTTGATTGGCTTGATCTGTTTGGGAGGCATCCAGGCAGTGGGACCGGGTCCTGTGCTCATTGCATGAGTTGGCTGTTTGAAACCTGGGGCCTATGCAGGATTGTTTGGCTCGGCCTGGGAGGAGGGGACTAGACCTACCTGGACTGAGTCTACCAGGTTGACCTCAGTCTGTGGGGAAGGCTTTGCCCTGGAGGAGATGGGAATGGAGGGGGGCTGGGGGGAACGTGAGGGGGACGGGAGGGGGGAGAACAAGGGAATCCGTGGCTGATATGTAGAACTGAATTGTATTGCAAAAAAAAAAAAAAAAAGCAATTTAGGGAAAGAGTTTCTTTTGCTTCACAGTTGAGGTGGTGTGATACCTCAGTAAACCCCCCCCCTCCCATCCCCTACAGACAAAGAGAAGCTTAAACCAGGATTCCTAAGTGTAGATAAGAACTTAGACCGCTTTTTCCCAGGTTGCTGTATCTGCTACAGGGACTTTGAAAAACACAGAGTCAGGATATTCAACCAAAAGACTAAAAAAGGGAGGCAGGTTGAAATGAATTCTATGGTCTGTGCCTTTAAGAACTAGCCTCACAAAGAAAGGGGAGCGCTCCTTCCAACCTCCCTGCTGTGTGTGAGTGATTTGGAACCAGCCTCCCTGCTGAGGCTTGTAAACTTAGAATACACCTCGCTTTTGCATTCTGTACCTAAAGTCTCCAGTGGCGGCTTTGGGGATGCGATCTGGGCATAACACAGGCCAGTTTGGGCTATAGAGATCCTGTCTCAAACCCAAATGAGATGGAAATATGGTGGCATATGCCTTTAATCTCAGCACTGGAGATAAAAGACCCAGACACAGTTCCCCCAGAAACCCAAAAGAGCTGAGGAAAGAGATATCTTAAAAATGAGTCAGTTCCCCCTTCCTGGAGAGGGTAAAGACAGGTGTTTTCAAAAGAAAGTTAGGATGTCTGGAGGTAACTGATTAACTACGAGATGCCCCTCTCCAGAGATAACATGACCAGACCCCGGAGATGAGTTGTAAAACTCCTGACAGGGCAAACAGAAAAGGTAAAATAAGACAAAGTCCAGGCCTGGGAAAGACTGGACCAATCAAGGATGGACCCGTACTAACCCCCTCCCCTCTAAGAAATTTTGTGGGTTTTGCCTATAAAAACTATCTTCCCCAAGAAAGAGCAACTCCTCCCTGCCTCACTGTGCTGAGGCCAGTGAGTGCTTGAGATGAGTTCCCTGTCGTGACTTGTAACAGATAAACCTTGCTTTTGCATTCTGGTATGCTCATCCTTGGTGGTCTCTCTGGGGGTTACGATCTGGGCACAGCAGTGGAAGTCAGAAGACTTGGCAGCAGGAATATGAGGCAACTGCTCACACTGTATCTGCAGTTAGAAAACAGCAAGACGGTGTTGAAGTTCTACTCACCCCCACCATTCGTTTCTTCTTATTCAGTCTGAGACCTCATTGATGAAGCCATTGGATGGTACCACTTATGTTTTTTTAGTTTTATTTAAAAAACCTTTTTATTCATTTTATGTGGATGTAATTCTAAACGGTCTTATTAAATAAGAAACACAGAGCCAGATAAAGAGTTAAAAGCCCAAGAGGTCAGAGCACTAGCGAATAGCCTTTAGCTTACCAGTTGCTGCTGTCCTTCCCCTGAGAGAGAGAGACCTTCTCCTGTGTGACCTGTCTTTTAATTGCCTTTCTGCTCTGCCTTCTCATTGGTTCTAAACCCAACCACATGACTTCCTTGTCACTGCCTGCCTATACAGACCTCCAGGTCTTTGTGGTTGGTACTGGGATTAAAGGCTTGTGTGTTCATGCTGGCTGTGTCCTTGAACACTCAGAGACTTTGCCTGCCATGTGATCAGATTAAGGGTATGTGCTACCACTGCCAGACTTCTGCTAAATGGCTTGCTATTAGCTCTGACCCCCAGGCAACTTTATTTATTAACATACAAATAAAGTCACATTTCGGCACAAATAAAATATCACCATAATTTTACATACCAATCACAGATCCCCCTCTCATCCCTCCTCCCACTCCCCCCACTGCCACCTAACCCCCCTCCCACACCCCTCATCCCCTCCTCCAAAAGGATAAGTTCTCTCATGGAGGTACAGCAAAGCATGGTACATTCAGTTGAGGCAACACCAAACCCCTTCTCCCTGCATCAAGGGTGAGCAAGGTGTCTGACCATAGGTAATAGGATCTAGAAAACCAGCTCATGCACCAGAGATAGATCCTGATCACACTGCCATGGCTCATCAAACAGACCCAGCTATACAACTGTCTCCTGTATGCAGAGGGTCTAGTATGGTCCCATGCAGTTTCCACAGTTGTCAGTCTAAAGTTCATGGGTTTCTATGTGTGGTGGTATTGTATTCCCCAAAATATTGTGCACCCTAATAAATTTATCTGGGGTCAAAGAACAGACAACCACTAGATACAGAGGCTAGAAAATGGTGGCACTCACACCTTTAATCCTAGCATTCCAGAGACAGAAACCCATCTAGGATCTCTGTGAGTTCAAGGCCACATTGGAAACAGCCAGACATGGTGACTCACGCCTTTAATCCCAGGGAGTGGTGGTAGAAAGCAGAAAGGTATATAAGGCATGAGGACCAGAAACTAGAAGCATTTGGCTGGTTAAGCATTTGACTGGTTAAGCTTTCAGGCTTTCGAGCAGCAAAGTTCAGCTGAGATTCATTCTGGATGAGGACTCAGAGGCATCCAGTGTGAGGAAAACAAGATCACCTGAGAAGTTGGCCAGGTGAGGTTAGCTGTGGCTTGTTCTAGTTCTCTGATCTTCCAGTTCACCCCAATACCTGGCTCAGGTTTGATTTAATTAATAAGAGCTTTTAAGATTCCTGCTACACCTATGAGTTTGGTTCTACTTATGTTTAGGGTGGATCTTCTTTCCTCAATTAAACTCTGAAAATACCCTCACAGACATACCCAGAACTGTGTCTTCTAGGTAACTCTAGAACCAGTCCAGTTGACAATGCTGATGAATACCTCACGCTATTTCACATAGTTACAATCTTATGGGTAGTACAAAACCTGAAATCTGGCTTACTCAGTTTCCATTATATAGCATGGTTTTACTGACGGGAATTCTACACTGCACATTAGAGCTCTGGACACGGTTTTTCTACCTAACTTCAGTTTTGCGCTCTCTAATCTCCATCTGTCCATGCTCACTCCTGCCCATAGTCACAATCATTCTCTTACCTATTTTCATATGTCTGTCTTTCTAAAGACTCTGCATAGCTATACCATGAAGTCAACCACCCCACTCTGTGTGTGTGTGTGTGTGTGTGTGTGTGTGTTAAATGTGTGCCACAGAACATGTTAGAGGACAAACTCTGGTGTTGATCCTCACCTCTCTCCTTAACTGAGACAGTATCTCAAGCCCATGAACTTCCATGGATTCTTTTGTCCCTGTCCTGCTGCCTCACAGGAGTGCTGGGATTTCATATACATGCTACTGTGTCCAGATTATGGAATTCAAACTCTGTGTCTGTCCAGCAGACACCAGCAAGCATTTACCCACTAGGCTGTGCCCCAGCTTGCATATTTCTTTTTATGTCAAACTTATTTTGCTTAAAATCAACAGGAGTTGCCTATGTTGTGCAATTAGCCAGACCTGCTGACATAGGCTTTTGTGGTTGATATATTGTACACCCTAATAAACTTATCTGGGGGTAGAGAACAGAACAGCCACTATATTAAACATAGAGGTCAGGCAGTGGTAACACACACCTTTAATCCTAGCATTCTGGAGGCAGAGATCCATCCTGATCTCTGAGTTCAAAGCCACACTGGAAACAGAGCCAGGCATGGTGGCACACACCTTTAATCTCAGCACTTGAGATCTTATGTCTTGCTTGGGAAAGACACATGCCTTTAATCCCAGGAAGTGATGGCAGGAAGCAGAAAAGTATGTAAGGCGTGAGGACCAGGAACTAGAGGCTTTTAAGCTTTTAGGTTTTCAGCAGCAGTTCAGCTGAGATCCATTCAGGTGAGGACTCAGAAGCTTTCAGTCTGAGGATTTGTGGAAACAGGATCGGATTAAGAGTTGTGAAGGTAAGGTTGACTATGGCTTGTTCTGCTTCTCTGATCTTTCAGATTACACCCCAATATCTGCCTCCATGTTTTTTATTAATAAGACCCGCTAATGATTCATGCTACAGGGGCGGGCATGCTGGGTCAGCAGGTAAAAGCTCTTGCTGCCAAGCTTGAAATCGTGAGTTGATTCCTGGATTCACAAGCAATTCTCTGACCACCACATGGGTGCTTGGCGCCACATGCATGTGCATGCACACACACAAATAAATGTAATGAAAATTAACTAGAAAACAGACATAAAACTTAAAATGTTACTTAGATATGTACTGAAACATTGCATAAATCCAATACATTCTGACTAGGCAACCTTAGCCTGTTATCTCTTTATTATATCTATATATAGTCCATATCTATATCTATATGCATACATACATACATACATACATATGGAAGGTAGAGAAAGGGGATTCCTTAGGATGGGTTACAGGCTGTGGTCCAGTTAACACAACAATGGCAGTCTACCAATGGAAAGTCCGAACCCAGTACTTGTTCAATCCACAAGGCTGGATGTCTCAGCTGGTCTTCAGTATATACCAGAATCCTGAAGAAATAAACCCTAATGCCAGTGAAGGAATGGACTGATAGTGAAAGCGAGATCAAGCAAAGAGAGAGCAAGCTTCCTTCTAACAAATTCTTTCCATAGGCTGCCAGAAGAAGGTGTGGCCCACATTAAAGGTTGGTTTTACCAGTTCAAATGATCTGGATTAAAGGTTTATCTTCCCACCTCAAAG